CTTTCTCAACAATCCTTTTCCTCAGGTGCGTGGAAATTGTGACAGCAATGGAGGATCTCACCGTGAGAGGAACTAGTTGGCAGAGGCTTCGACTGGATTGCCATGCATGAAGAAAAACAAGAGTTCATGAGACGTGGGGATTCGCTCAGTACTTCGATCTGATAAATTCCGGTTCCGGCCGCCACTGTTGCCACTTTGTCGTCGATGATCGATCTTCCCTAGATCTAGGAATAAGCCGCCATCGTCATCTTTTCGCCGCTGACTTCCTCTTCCTTAACGTCGATCGGTGATAGGATTGTAGTAGAGAAGATGGGCAAATTATTAAGTCCGGTCATAGAACGTCCAGACATCCAATCCAGACACGCTACATCACCCAAATACATTGGGCCCCGATGCATTTTGGTGATGTGGCGCATTTGAATTGGTGTCCGGACAAATCCGGACACGAGACGTAATAATTTTCCGAGAAGATGAGGGTGTTTTTTTTATTCTAGTAAGAGTTTTGAAGTGATATGTAAGTGAATAGTAAAATTTAGATGTTAAATATATAAATTTTATAATTTAGAGTGTTATATGTGTAAATCTAATGAAGTTAATTTTATTACATATGTTTATAAAATCATGTAATTATAATTAATTCTCCTAAGATTTTATATAGATGTGTTAATTCTCTATTTATTTTTGTCATATATTTATATTTGTAAATGTCTCTTCGTATGCCTTCTACTTTGTAGGCTGCATAATTTAATTAAAAAAAAAAGATTTTATTTTTTTGAAGATTATCCAATAATTTAATTATATTATCTAATATGTTAATTATGTTTATTTTTTTAATTTAAATATTCTTAATAATATAATTACATATAAAAAAATTAAACTTGATACAAAATCAAAATATCTTAACAGAACCATTTTTTCCAATCCAAAAATAGATAATTAGGTAAAAGCAAAGGTCAAGGAAGGTGGCAGAGTAAGGAACTTTTATTTGATCCGGTCACCTAACGTAGCTCTACGTTCAGACGACATTAAATTAGTGCCACGTGTTCTTACTATTTACCGCACGGCCCGACAACCCGACCCGGAACGTTGGTATCAATATCTCTCCGAATATAAGGGGATTGATGTAGAGAAATAAAAAGATGAGCATCAAACATTGAGTGATGTATGATGGTTTGCTTAATCTTAAAAAGATTGATTGAATGCCATTTTGCTGTGGAGTGTATTATTTAATATTATACACAAAGTCTGATTAAATATGACTATTTTCATTAATTTGTTACTAAATTTTGATTAATAGAATATATTTAGTCACACTTTCAATCTTCTAATGATTTTTTTTAAGGAACTATGACTTCATATTTTAATTATTACAAATAGTTTTAGGTTTCGTTTGGGACCATTTTTTACTAATTTTAAGAGTTCGTTTCAGATAGTTTTCAACCGCTATTTTTTTCCTTATTTTAATAGACTTTTGTACTAAAAAAGATTTACAAAATAGTAAGAAAGTCATTTTAAATGAAGCCTAAAGTAGTTTTCTAGTACAAAAATTTTTACAATAAAAAAATATTTTAGGAAGCAGTAAGAAAACATTTCCAAATAAAGTCTTAGGCTTCGTTTGGGACAACTTTACTACTGATTTTTAAAGAAACTTTTTACTACAAAAATTTTTTGAACTTGAAATTTTTATACTAAAAATTTACTTTAAAAAAAATAAAAAAAATATCCCAAATGAAGCCTTAATCTGATTAAATATTATTTTCAATATATTAGGTATTTATATGATTTCTTTTAGTCATTATGCAGTGATTGTGTTGTTCTTGTTGATTTGTCAGTTATACTGAATTATCCTATCAATTAATAGATTAAAAAGAATGAAACTCATAATAATATATTGGCAGCTAATGCAATAGCCTTTATTAACATATTGTTGTCTTCATTAACATGCTCTTAATGAGTGTTAATCTAAAAAGCAAGTTGTTAATAAGAAATTTAGCCTTGATTAGCATGATAACAACTTTATTAATTAACATGTTGCTGTATAAGAAGGTTTTTGTAGGGTTATGAGTTGAATGCTTAGAATTATTCTTAGGAATCTCTTGCAATATGTAGAAGAGAATAAATGCTTCTTAGTTAAAATCAAATGAAGAAAAATAAAAGACCTCCATCTTACAAATACACTATAACCCTAATTATTTTATCTATTGATCATACTCTAAGAGCTTATAGAATCATGTGGAGTCTAAGGGAGGAGAAATTATTCTATGCAAACTCTGAACATAGCTCTATATCCTCAAACCAACCAGAATGAGCCACGTAAGCGGTACCGAGCCGCGAGCAGTATCAAGCAGCGGTACCGACGTGGCTCATTTGGGTTGGTCTCCGAATGACGTTCGGCTTCCACACAGAATAATTTGGGAGAGTAGAAAGTACTTGAACATTGCATAGTCATGATAGAAACTACAAAATTCATAGACCATAAACCACATTTAGCACTTGATTGTAATTAAACCATTGACTCTAATATCACTAATTATTAAGAATAAAAGATTGAGCAAAAGAGAAATCAAAATATCATAAAAGAAATCTTGTATTCATAAGAAATAATCCTCATACATTTAGGACCACATGAATTTTATTATATTGATCAAGTTATAGTTATATGAAATGATATTATTTAAATAAAAAATATTATATTTATCATTATGATAGTATTCTCACATAATTATGCGTATGCGCGTGGGCGGGGACGGGGGCGCGGGCGTGCGTGCGTGCGTGTGCGTGTGCGTGAAAAACGTGAACAAAGGACAAAGTAGGCAGCCAACAGCTAAAAATGCTGAAATCCAATGGAAGATCTCTCTCTCAGAGCTTAACATTTTTCTAAGGCATCAGATGGTTAAATTGCTCATTAAAGATAAAATTCTTATTCTGAGAATTTTACATTAGTTTATAACCTCAAATGAGGGTAATGAATTAAACTATTTATGAAAATTAGAATATATAGAAATAAAAAATTGCCTATAAAAACTATATACATATACAATACACAATACTAATAAATATGTAAACGTCTAAGGAGTATATAGGGGTCTCTGCCTAGCTAAATACACATAATCTCTCCTCTGAGCTTCAAGCTCTTGGATAATCCTATCAGCCCATTCCTTCTTGTCATCTAAACCTGCTAAATGCACCATGAAATCTCCCCTGGAATATACTCCTGTAATCCATTGACAAGTGAAATGATCATACAAATTATAACTGTTACAATTTTTTTATCTTTCTAACTACTACCAAATTCTAGGAGATTTTATAATAAAATATTGCTTCTCAACATAAAAATTACTAAAAAACAATAAAAAAATAACAACCAAATATATATGTGGTAGCTATGTTGCACCGATACACCTATTTATGAAGGCGTGTTGTATCGAATACGCGTCCGATACGGCACCGATACATGTCAGATACGTTAAAACCGTATCATATTAAAATACTATTTAATTTCAAAATGAATGATGAATAAATACAAAAAAAAGAGGAGACATATTTACTTCCGCGGTTGCGAGCAATGCTCTCTCATTTTTGAACCCGCGAGCCATTTACATTAATGTTAGTTTACTAGAAAACAGGATATTAGGGCATCAAATCACTTTGCATTTGCAATGCTTTGATTTTTGTTTCATGTATTAAAAAATCATGTTATTGTGATTTGTATGTCTTCTTAAACAAAAAAAAAAAAAAAAAAGTTTAGCCCTCATATTTTATTCAGTAAACATGCCACCAAATCATGCAACAACATAATTAGTGGAATCATACCACAAAATTCTTATTAGACGATGAGTTTTAACTCTTCCCTTGACTCAATGCTTACTTTTATTTTGATATTATAAGCTACAATGCTACAAATGATGTTGCTTTCATTCTTTTTTTATCATTTCAAATATTATGCTTTGACTGTTTTCTTAAATGTATGATTTATAAATTATAATGTCGTGTCCGCGTCGTACCCATATCCTGTATTTTTAAGAATTGACATGTCCCGTATCCGTGTCGTATCCGTATCAGTGCAACATAGTGTGGTATTGACGTAAAAAAGCAAAGTAGCGAAAAATTATTCCAAACAGATCATTAGTCTATGAGGGAATGGAATGAACCTCTCCATACAGCCCCAGATGAGAAGATGAGTTGATGAACAGATTTCCATGAGGGGTACCAAGGATATGAGTTGAAAAGGCACTGCATCGGCGATATTCGTACATGGCTTCTCAGTTCATGAGATGATAGATTCCTAATCAGATACTTCAAGGCATCGTTGTCGCCGCTCTTGGTCGATCCAAACTGCACAAAAGATGTTAGGTTCCACCATGTTTCCAGAAAGTTTTCACTCCATTTAGATCGCCGTACAAAGAAGACTCCTGAAGGCATAGAAATGGATTCAAAATCAATAACCTCTGATCGTAAGATGTGGCAGATTCTTTAAGATTTGTATATTTAGCAATTTCACAAGCTTCTTAGCAAATACTGCACTTGTTTGATGATGCCGTTGTTACCCAATAGAACTCGGTACACAAAAAACAGAGAAATGAGGCTTTAAGAACAGCACAGGAAATGTTTTAAGTGGTCTTTCTTTAATCTCTAGGTCTTTCTTTTAAGTGGTTGTTGGTTCATATTTATAATCTTGAAATAACATATTGTTATATGCAACTTGAAACTCTTACTTAGGAAGTCTTAGTTGCTATCATTTGGAAAGATCTTGTATCAATGTGGTGTTCAGTCGTAACAATATAGAAACAAGTTTTATGATACAACAAGTGTAATGTCACGTTATTATTAATGTTCATAACAAATTCATAACATCACCATTATTCTTGTTGTGTCCTGAAACATTCGAGACAGTAGAGAGATATGGAGTTTAGCGTCCTAGCTTTAAACGAAGATCTAGCTCACATATAGATAAAGAGAGAAGGGTGAAGTATCCATAAGAGACCAATATTTTTACATTAAAAATCCTAAAAAGGGCAAAAATCATGAGGCCTTATCCAGTTGAAAAGAATCTGCTAGAATTTGTGATTGATTACAAATTAGGTCTTTCCTCAGAGGAAGGCCTTGGCCCAATGTAGCAAATATACATGTAATGGGCACATTACATGGTTGGAGTTGGAAGATTGTAGATACATGAGAGTTATTCTCAAGAGAGTGTTGGCATGTTCGGTCGATTGGTAGGACCATAATCGAACAATGGTGGCTAGAGTGACTATTAATTAATAACTTGTAAATCAAATATTAGTTGTATTTAATTTAGTTTATTAATTTGCACTGCTTTATTTTTTATTTAAAACTTGTTTCTTGTGTAGCCTAGCATATAGCCTTGTATATTGCTTTTCTTGTGTTGTTTTTCTTCTTATTAAAACAGGTGGGGTCTCTTGCGGCTATGAGATCAGTTGTGCAAACTAGAGAGCGAAAAGAGAGAGGCGGATTGAGAGCAAGAGCGGGGTTGAGACCTAGCGGAAAAGCGTGCTAGGCGAAGGAGGCAAGATCGGGCTTCTTCTTCTTGCAATTCCAGGTAAGGTGCTAGAGGAGGCAGAAGGATGAGGGGGATTTTGTTGGAGCTCGTTCTTACCTTGTGGTTGTCGGTGGGATTTAGTAAGAACCAAAAGAGCAGAGGTTTGATTGGTAGAAGATATGGGAAGATTGATCAGGTTATATCTCTCTATGCTTATTTAAGAAATTTGTCTCAGTTTTAAAGATAAACCTACATCTACAGCCTGTTTAGGGATTTGTAATCATTGTGCAAGTTAATAAAAGAAGCAAGCCCTCTTTCTTCCCGTAGATGTAGGCATCTCGTACCTAACCACGTAATCCCTTGCATTCATGTTTGTGTTGTTGACTGCTTTTTGTTATTCTTGTATATCTTGTAGTAGATTGATTGTTTGGTGGCTGAATTTATATCCCTTACATATATCTTGTTTAGAACTTTTTACAACATAGTTTAGATGCTTGTTCAGGATATGTTGATTCATGTTAGCTTGTTGTTTTCGATAAGAAGAATACATTCTTAGTTTATTTTGCAAGAGAATATTGCGATTCTTATTCAAATACTTGTGATATTGTTTATCTATATTGAGTCAAAAGTTTTTGGCTAAAAGCAAGAACTGGTCAATATATTGTGCAAAGTTTAGTGAGAGAAATGTTTCTAATTAATTGAAAAATTAATTAGTAACTTCTTATTTTATAATTCTTTAATTAGAATTTACTAGCTTGTGAGTTTTTGTTCCAAATATAGGCAAATTTGGATTCTTAATTTTAGTAACTCAATTTGGAAAAGATCCTTAATCAATTACGCATTTTAAAAGTCATTAGTAATAACAAATTGGTATCAGAGGCAGGTTAGATTTTAAGCAGAATGGAGGTTTCAAACATTAAGATTAAAAAGTTCGATTGCAAAACTGATTTCTCTATTTGGAGTCTCTATTTGGAGAAAAAGAATGAAAGTCGTTAAGGCATTAGAGGAAGAGAGAAATTTGTCGAGTTTTTTAGATCCATATGAGAGGGCAAACATCATGGAGTTAGCGTATAGTACACTTGTGTTGCACTTAAGTGGTAAGGTACTTCGTGAGGTTGATAAGGAAACAACAGCTGCTAGAATATGGTTGAAATTGAAACAAATGTACATGAATAAAAATTTGCATAATAGAATCTACTAAAGGGGAAAATTGAATAAGAGCTTGAGTTTTGTTTTCCTCCATATCTGAGCTCTCTCCCTCTCTTTCTATTGTCAAGAAGAACTTCTTCCTCCTCAAGAATCTTAACAATTTGATATCAAAGATTGGTGGAGGGATCGTAGTCGGCTGACAACGAAGGTCGAAGGGACCATAGTCGGCGGGTGACAGAGGTTGGAGGGACTGTAGTCGATGGGAGATGGAGGTCTGAGTGGATTGCAGTCGACAGACGATAGTGGTTAGAGTGACTGTATTAGGTGAGCAACGATGGTTGAAGGGTAATGATGGTTAGAGGGACTAGTGTCAACAAGCGATACAGGACGGATGGACAGTAGTAGGCGGGCAATGGAGGTCGAAGAGATTGTAATCAGCAGGCGACAAAAGTCAGAGTAGACCGTAGTTGGCGGGCGACAATGGTTAAAGGGATTGTAGTCGTAGGGACTATAGTCGTCGGGAAATGTTCATTGAAGGGACCGTAGTCGGAGGGCAACGGTGGTCAGAGGGACCGTAGTCGGCATGTGACAAAGGTAGGAGCGGACCGTACTTAGCGAGCGATTGTAGCCGGAGGGTCCATAGTCTACGGGCGAAGGTGGTCAGAGAGACTGCAGTCATCGGACGTTGGTCGTCGGAGAGACCGTAGTCAATGTACAATGGTGGTCGGAGGGATCGTAGTCGAAGATCGATGGAGATCGGGGTGTACCATAGTCGACGAGCAACGGTAGTCAAAGGGACTATAATCGGTGGGCGAAGTGGTCGAAGGGACCGGAATCAACAGGCGACGAAGGTTGGAGGGATCATAGTCAGCAGGCGATGATGGTTGGAGGTCGGACGGTGATCGGCGACGAGCGATGGTTCAACGACGATAAGCTATCAGGTGGAAATCTGACAAAGATTGGCGACGGGGCCGTGGTCCGGCAACGATCGGCGATCGACAGCCAGGCAGTGGTCTGACGATGGTCAGGCAAAAGTCCAGCAGCAGTCGACGGTCGGCGGCCGGGTGGAAGTCTGGTGATGATCGAAGGTTGGCGGCCGGGTGAAGGTCCTGCGGTGATCCGATCGGCTGACAGAAGTTCATCCCGTTGTGCTAGGTGGAGTTCTAGATCCTTGAAACCTCAGAGCTCTCTCCAATACATGATTTTGAAAACCGGACCAGACCGGCCGATTTTAAACGTGTCGGTTCAGGTTGACCCGTTTACACCCGGGTCAAGTCGGGTTCAACCCGAACCCGACCTGTCGACCCGAATTGACACCCCTAGAAAATGCAATAAAATTAGTGCAAAAATCCAAACAACGATTACATATACTAATGGAGAATAGATGGAGTTTTTACTAGATGAAATGCTACATTTTTGCAGTGTTTTTTAAATTGAAGTTTCAAATATGAATGATACATATAAAACTCGTCGACGATCAACACGAAGTGATGAAGAAATATCAAACCTACATCATTATCATGTTAAACTATTACATATTGTAATTGACATGCAATTTTAAGAGCTAAATAATTATTTTTCTGAATCTAATATTGAGTTATCTCTTTGTGTGGCATGCTTAAACCCAAGTGATTCATTTCTTACTTATGATTACAGCAAATTGATACGTATAGCAGAATTATATCCAAATAATTTTTTTACAATTAACCTTATGGCTCTTAAAAGTTAATTATCAACTAATATTATTAATGTGTACTGATAATGAGTTCACCTCTCTAAGCAGTATTGTTTATCTTACAAAATAAATTATTAAGGTCAAGAAAGATAGTATGTATCCTCTAGCTTACAGACTTATTACTTTAGCATTAATTTTACCAATTGATACTGCTACAGTGGAGAGAGCATTTTCTGCAATGAGGATTATCAAACATCAATTACATAATAGGATGAGTGATGATTGGCTCAATGATCATGTGGTGTCTTACATTGAGAAAGATGTGCTCGATTTTATTTCTAATGAGGTTGTAATGCAACATTATCAAAAGATGCAAAACAAATTAATAAGTTTGTAATAATTTCAATTTATCTATCATAATGAAATACAATATTTTATTTTGAATTATGTACTCAATTTATTTTTTTTCAATATTAGTTCATTTATATGAAAACTTTGCCCCCTCCCCTTAAAATGAAAGGTTGGTTCCGCCCCAGCAGACGGTTGGTGTCATTCAGGCTTGAGAGACCCAGCTAGGTCGATTCTTGTGGTGTGGCTTCGGATTGAAGACGGACAGGAGGCGTTGCTTGGGTGCAGGATTTTCCGGTTGGATCAGGCTTAATTGCAAGCAAGAGGTCGAACAAGTAGCGAATGTGCAGGCAGATCACGTGGGCGGACACGTGTGGGGTTCGTGCGAGGAAGGCGGACCCTGGGACAACAGAATCATGGGTGGAGTCGGGCGACATGCGAAGGCAGGCATCGCAAGTAAGGTCACACTAGAGCGTGATCGAACTAGTGTGCGAGTCATAGGATACCCGCAGGCGGACGTACTCGCAAGGCACGGGAAGACACCGTGTGGTGCACTATAGACGCGCATGCGAGGCGTAGGCAAACGAGTCTAGGGCACAGGGGGTGGGATCAAATCATGTGTGCGAAGCCGAGGCTAGCATAGAGCTCGCGTACAGGACGCGCAATCGTGCACAGTAGGAGATGATATTTTCTAGTTTGTGGATTAAAGTGAAAGACTGAGCCAGGTGCTTGAGCGGGTCGAAGCCGGAGGAGCCATGAAGGCATTTCTTTGATTGTAAAATCTGGACCAATGTGAAGATTATTAGGATTGATCTAGTCTTAGACTAGTGTTATTCTAGGAGACACACGTCAATATAAAATCTATAAATAGATGTTATATGCGATGTATTAGATGGAAAAAATTGGATAAGAGCTTAAGTTTTGTTTTCCTCTATATCTGAGCTCTCTCTCTCTCTCTTTCTCGACTTTCAAGAAGAACTACTTCCTCCACAAGAATCCTAACATGGACCATAGTCGATAGGAGACGATGGTCAGTGGGACTATAGTCGGCGGGCGACAGAGGTCGGAGGGACCATAGTCGGCGCGCAACGGAGGTCAAAGAGATTGTAGTCAGCGAGTGACAAAAGTCGCAGTCGATTGTAGTCGACGGGCAGCGATGGTCGAAGGGACCATAGTCATTGGGCAATGGTCGTCGAAGGGATCGTAGTCGGCAGGCGATAGAGGTAGGAGCAGACCATAATTAGCGGGCGATCGTAGTCGGAGGGTCCATAGTCGGTGGACGAAGGTGGTCAGAGGGATCATAGTCATTGGGCGTTGGTCTTCGGAGAGACCGTAGTCAACGGACAATGGTGGTCGGAGGGACCGTAGTCAAAGATCGACGGAGGACAGAGTGTACCATAGTCAACGGGTGATGGTGGTCGGAGGGAATGTAATTGATGGCGACGGTGGTCGAAGGGACCGTAGTCGGCGGGAGGCAGAGGTCAGAGGGTGACGATGGTCGAAGATCGGATGGTGATCGGCAAATGAACAATGGTTCAGCGATGGTATCAAGTCTGTTTTTTTATGTGTATCAAGTCTTAACCCGATGATTTGGCGTTGGCTTTACAAACTATCATTCTTCATATATTAATGTTGAATATTGCATGAAGTATTAAATATAATTGCAAAACTTCTATTTATTTTATGTTTGATCTACCATTTTGCCTTCCAAAAACTTTGATGCTAACTTTATCTACTTGTTTTATGGTGCATTTTCAACCCTTTAGTGTGCCACTAACTTATCTTTAATAGATATTATTCTTGTCAATCATTTAAAATAATTGTTCCTCAATTTATTAGTTTTTGACTTATTACAAGGCATGCATCAAAAGTAATTCTAGATTATTTTTCTAATATTCTAGTATTTTGGATTGTTAAGTATTTTATTTCAATTTTATTTTATTTATGTTAGGAATATCTTTATTTCCATATAGATATTAGGATTATAAGCATTGTCTAGATTTAAGTTTCAAATTTAATTAGAATTAATCTTATAATTTTACCTTTATAAATAGGTGTTTAATGAATATTATTTGGATCATTATGAAATTATGAATGAAATGTGACGATCTTTCCCTGCTATTCTATCCTCTCTCCTAAACAGTATGTAAAAGGATCCCCCTCTCTTTCTAAATTATCTCTTCTCATGACAATGGGAATTCCCATCCTCTTTTATCTTCTCACACCTCACAGCTCTTTGATCAAATGCAACTTGAGGTATTATCATGCGTCTCCTACTCTCATGAAATCCAAATTACCAAAAGTATCGTAGTTTATCCAATATTTGATGATCCTTCCTTATCTTCTTACTTCTCTAGCACCAAGGGGAGAAACTAAGCCAATTTTAAGAGAGGAAAGAACGAAAAAGATCAAGAAGAAATTCTTCATCAAGGATCCATCATCAAATTGGCATCAAAGCAATTCTCATCCAACATCAATGTGGAATAAAAATCAAATTTCTTTAAGGTAGTTGTATCTAAATCTTAGCCAACCATACACATCACATACCATTAATCATACCACACCATCATGATACATGTAAAACTAAGAACATTGATCTATGCAAGATGCATTAATTATGCATAGAAGACACCACACACACAAAAAATAAACATTTCTGGAGTTAAGAAATTCTCCTTATTTACTTTGGAATCAACACTAAAAGTTTATTAGCATATTTCATAAACTCTAGAAACATCCAAGTACAAAATATTAGTATAAATATATTTTAGATATGGATGAATTATATGCTTCACAAAATTATTTACTACATTAGGTTTGTAATGAAAAATCATAAAATTATCATTTATATGACTCTCATGATTACACATATGGTAGCTACAATGGGTCTAGTGATTTCATTGAGTCAAATTACAACCATGACAGCCATTTTAATAATCAGCCTCATAGATATAAATTACCATCAAGAAATACAAATGTTGATGCATTGATCCCTATTAATATCGAAATTAGTATTTTAAGTGAAGCATTATGGTGAAAATTTTTTACATTGGAACGCAGCTAGGTCCTTCATCGCACGATGAATTTCGTGCACACATGTTGTTCATTTATCAAGTATTAAACCTATATTATTAAAATTTTATAAACCCTTTAAAAATAACAGTTACTATAAATAAGATTTAGGAATGTCATTCGTCTTTTTAAGAATAGTAGTATATAGAATATATATCTCGAGCGACTACCTGAAAATAACCGATAAATTTAATTCAACTGATACCGAACTCAATCTACAACCCCAAGAAGAAGAATTTTAGCTCGAATTTGTTAAACGATTTCTCAAATAAAATCGAAGCCATGGAAATCTTTTTCTCCCTTCATCAAGAAGTTATATAAAAGAGAAATCAGCGCAAGAGATTACCTGCGTTTATCCCGTTAACATCCTCCGTCACCACAAAATCGGGAGAAGTCTCGAAATCCGCCTGTCCAATTACGGCACCCAGAATATTCTCCTAATCCGAAGAATCGAAAATCATCAAAAAAGATTATAAAAATAATTTTCAAATAAAAGGAAGGACCTAAATTTACCAGGGAAATATCCGGGTTGGTTACCACTGTGTCCTACAGAGAGGAAAAAATATCAGAAATAATCAGAAAAATTTTCATTTCACAAAAAGAAACAGGATGGCGAGAAGGGAGGAAAAGCAAAAAAGCCGTAGAACTTACGGCATCGTTCCAGAAAACCCAATCATGACTTGGGAGCTGTGAACGGACGGCAACGATCTTGCTCCAGCTTGGGGGACGGCCAGGATCGACAAGATCGTGTGCATCGACGAAGTCATATCCCATCCGCGCCGCGTAAGCCCGCTTGTTTCCGCCCACCGCCGCCATAACGCCGCGGAATGATCGCCGGCTCGTTTGTCGCCCCACGCCGTCACTGATTTCCTCCTGCGTTAAGCTCACCATCGCAATCTTCAGAGTTCGGGTCGTCGGCGATGTGGAGATGCCAGAGAAGACCGATGCGTTAGCCAGGCATCTCCGGCCAAGGTCGTTGGCGCGACGCAGTACTGATGCACAGATGTGGAGGAAGGCGAGAAAAAGAAGAGAAGAAAATAGAGCGAGGAGAAGGACTGATGGGCGGCGGCGGAGTAGAGACAGAGGCTGAGCTCGGACTCGCCGGTGAGCCATCAGTGAGGGACTGGACTAGGGGTTAGGAGCCGGAGAGGAACTGCCATTTTATAGGGTTTAATTGCAAATGATAATTTTTTTAGGATTAGTTTATGTACAGCCCTTATGTATTTATATATTTTTATCGCATAAATTTTTTATATTTATTTAAATAATATCATCATATTTAAATTATATTTTAATAAGTTTTATCTATTCTTATATATATCATTTCATTATATATACATATCATATACAATATTTATAACATGTAGTTTTATACATTGTGATTGTCAATATGCATGTATTATATAAAAATACATATTAGCTAAATAAACTATAATCATATGCGTGTCATATTATCATTTAAAATAGTGTACGCCGTACACTACTTATGAACATTTCGTACCTAGAAATGTATTCTCATTTCATATAAAATAATATATATTCAAAACTGGATGGTGAATTTTTCTTGTAAGTCGGTCAAAACATTCAGGAGATCGATATATATCACATACTGAAATTTACATTACGAAAGACCACTGGAATGGAAAATATTATATTTTTACCAGATTAACGAAGATGAAAAATAATAAACTCAAAAATATTAAAAACAAAAGTAAGAGTAGATGTCACTTATAATGTTTAGAATAATTTTCTTAACATAAGCGACGGACAAAAAAGACCATAAGACTTTCTCTCTCTTCTCTGTCTCTTTTTCTCTCTCCCTTATCCTCTCCTCTCCTCTTGCTTTCTTCTCTTCCATCACAAACCACCAAAATGAGGGAGGGGGATGGTGGATGACATGAATATTTATATTAAAAATATTTAAAAATTTATTTTCATTTTCCACCACCGTGGCACGCAAGATCCAACACAATTGTGATGCATGTCGGCCCTCATAATTACTATAGAATAGAAAGCTCTACGTCATAACGATACTTTCCCAACACTTCTGCGCTTATCAACCTAGCACTGCAACGCTACTTACTTGATTAGATATTCATATTTTTAAATAAATTCATTTTAAACTTTTTAGGTTATTATAAATAGTAGTCATATGGATCGTATTGAGGCGACTGGGGTTGGAGGGATCATAGTCGGGTGATTAAGGGCGGAAGAATCATAGTTGGTAAATGTTGGAGGTCAGGGACCGTATTTGGCGGGCGACCAATGTCAAAAGGATCGCAATCAGGCGACGATGATTGAGAGGTCATAGTCGGGGAAGTGATGTTGGAGGGACTATAGTTTGGTGATATAGGTCGAAGGAACCGTAGTAGAACAATGGTGGTCAGAGAAACCGTAATAGTTATACCAAGGTAGGAGGGGCCATATTCAAGTGACAAAGGTCGGAATGACTTTATATAATAACCAACAATTCTTAAAATGAATTTATTTAAAAATATGATAATCTGGATCAAGCATCCAGTGTTGTGGCACTGTGTTGGAAAGCATAGCAGCGTGGGTGCACTATGGCACTAAGAAACGACATTGAGGCATTAATGTCTCTATTATATAGTGACTATGGGTTTAGTATACGGCACAGTAGCACTGGGAAGTTGGGTGCCATGGTGCTAGTTTTTAATTAAATGATATTTGTAATATAGTTAATTAAATATCCCTCACCACCTAAACTCAACTCGCTCATTTCGTTTGGTTTATAGGGGAAGAAAAGAAAGGAGAAGGTGAAGAGAAGAGAGAGAGAGAGAGAGAGAGAGAGAGAGAGAAGGTCCTTCTAGGCTTTTTCGTCCGTCGCTGTTGTTACGAAAAAATTTTGATCGTTGTAAGTGACATCTACACTATTTTTGCTTTCAATGATTCCGAGTTTAGTATGTGTCTCTCTCATGAATAGGGTAAAAATGTAAGATCTTCTATTTTGATGAGCATTAATCATGTAGCTTGTTGTATATGGTAGATATCATTATTCTGAATATTTTGATTGGTTTATATATATCTTCCATCAATTAGTTTTCTATGTATGTTACTTTCTCTAAAATTAGTAGAAATAACCAAGTGCACGTTGATCAGGAGCAATATACTAAATTTGGATTTGAGATATATGATATGAATATGGTTATTATTCATCTGGAATAGCATGCATTTTGGTATAATATCTATATAATAATGAGCATAATGTATAGATCTACATGTTATAATAATTACATATGATATATGTAGGATGTGTATATAATTGATGTGATATGTCATATGCATAAGAACATGTAAAATGTATGAACTGATATGCTATAGAATTGATACTGATATGATTGAGAGGACAGATGATTAATAATATGATATGTGTTATTATGATTAACATGATATGAAATGTGTGTAAGAATAAGCAGAAGGAAATGAACTAATATCCTAAAAGGGACAGATGAGATCGATATTTATGTGAGTGTTTAACATTGATATTATGAATAAGCTTGATGACTTTCTTTTTTAAATTACTTTAGTTTTTGTTGGCTTTGAATAACTCTATGTTGGATAATACTCTACTCTACTCTTTATGTTGGCTTTGAATAACTTTGTGTTGGATAATACTCTGCTCTGCTCTCTGAGTTGGCTCTAAATAACTCTATGTTGGTTAATACACTACTCTGCTCTCTTTGATGGCTCTGAATAGATTTGTGTTGGTTAATACTCTGCTTTGCTCTCTGTGTTGGCTCTGAATAGCCCTATGGTTGTTAATACCTTGGTCTGCTTTTTTGTGTTAGCTCTGAATAACTCTATGTTGGAGTTTACTTTGCTCTACTTTGGTTCTGAATCTAATAGATATGATAGAAGATTGATATACTAGACGATTGATGTGATAGATGATAGATATGATGGATGATTGACATGATAGATGATATATATGATCCATAACTAATAAGACCAATACAAATAAGAATGATTGAGTGTTGATATTGATTGACTGATGAGACTTATTAACTGATTGAATGTATAAGAAAAATGACTTTCATATAGCCAAAAAGATACATGTGTATGATAAGATATATAAGACTAATGTAAGGGCATATGATAGATATGAATTATATAATATTTACATATGATACTATTTAGATTGATTGTTGCACGCCCATTGATTGGAATTGAATGATTATACGCATGTTATTCTATTTTATACATAGATTTCAGTTGTAGATATTAGTTGATTGTTAAACTATATGTTCATTATGTTAATTTTTACATGCTTTCAAGTAAAGGTAATGAGCATGTGGAGTGAGGTAGATATAGGCAACAAGCTTAGGTTTTTTGTCTGTATATATTGGTTTTCTTTATTTTTTATAATTGTGATGTTTTTTTAGTGATGAATTATTCTAGTTGAGCATCATGACTATTGTATATGATATTTTGGGTTGTGAATCGATTTATAAATATTTGATGCACAATAATATATTTATTTTTTTTATTTATATTCTCTAGATGAAATTAGTAATTGATTGGAAAATAAAAATAAAAATAATCAAAAATTTTCTAATTTATATTATGAAGCATGACATCATAGTTAGGTGACTGAGGTCGGAGGGATCATAGTTAGATGACTAAGGTCAAGGGAACTTAGTAGAACAAATAAGGTCGTGGAACTGTAGTAGGGAGACAGTGGTTGAAGGGACCATAGTTGGGCGATGGAGGTCGAAGGGACCGTAGTCGAGCTACATAGGTCAAAGAAATTGTAGTTGGGCTATTGAGGTCAAAAGACTGTAGTTAATGATGTTTGAGTGGAAGTTAGAAGGCGGTGGCTGAGCGAAGGCTTGATGATGGTGGATGGATGAAGGTTAGATGGCAATAGGTAGGTAGAGGCTTAGTGGTGATGACTAGCCTAAGGTCAAGCAGTGGCAACCATGTTGAGATCTAACAGTAATGACAAGGTGGATGTTGCCACACCTAGGGTTTGAAAGGCAATACATAGGGGTGTAAGTGAGCCAAGTTGGCTCGCGAGATGACTCGAGCTTGACTTGTTTATGGGCTTGCAAGCCGAGCTTATCGAGCTCAAGTTCGAGCTTGAGCCGGCTCAGCTCGTGAGCTCGCGAGTCGGCTCAAATAAATATTAATATTTTTAAATAATTTTATTTTATTTATTAAATTTAAATATTTTTAAAAAATAATAAAAATCACTTAAGTTTTATTTAAATGCTAAACATTTCATCTTTTTTCTAAATTTTGACTAAGTTTTAAAAATCACGCTTAAGTTTTAAAAATCACGCCTAAGTTTTAAAAATTATGCCTAAATTTTGAAATTCCCCCACATGGCTCGTGAGCCGGCTCAAGCTCGTTTACCATGGGACGAGCTCAAGTTTGAGCTTCATTTCCAACTAATGAGCCGAGCTCAATAGCATAAACTTGACTCAACTCGTCTCGTTTACCCCCTAGCTGTACACCCCAACAACATGAGACATGATGAAGGGATATAAAACCCTATTTTCTATTCACAAAGAGAAGCATGCATATATAAGATATATATATTAAACATGGGATTTAAAATAAAAAGTCAATTCATTGATAGAAGTTTAAAAATAAATATATCAAAATATCAACAATTCTGATACAAATCAAAAGGAATATAAATGTAGCAAAAAAGTAGAAACACTATCTAACCCTCAAATCATAAATATAATAAACTACTACAAAATAATAAATACCCAAAAATAGTTTACTACTGGTTACCCTGCTCATGAGTGGTGATCCACCAAACGCACATGCATGACCTAATGAAAAAGATAACGGGTAATTTTAATAAATCAAACTCAGTAAGTAACTCCTATCTATGAAAGCATAAACAACAAATAAATAGAGCATGCAGTATGAACAACCAAAAGAGGGGAATAGTAACCTATAATCACTATATCAAAAATAATCGCCATAAGATATACTATATTTTTTACAAGTTTATTGTAATTGGTCCATATTTAGTTGTAGGGAGCTCATTAGCTGTCATAAAATTTTTCCATCTGTCCTACCTCTCTCTCTCTCTCTCTCTCTCTCTCTCTCTCTCTCTCTCTCTCTCTCTCTCTCTGCCATTTTATATTTATAGATGACAACCTTCTCCACTAGCCTCTCTCTCTCTCTCTCTCTACATGAGGGGTGAGACTATTTTTCTCTCTCCATCTTCACATCAATAGTTTTTTAATTAAAAATTTCATCAATTTTATTATTAAAACTCAAATTCTAGTTTATAGGAGATTTATGTAATTACATCCAACAAATTACATTAGAGGAGAATTATAAAATTTAAATTTAAATCAAATAGGTTAAAATATGCTTATTATTTATATATTTTTTATATACTTCGATAATAATAAGATACAGTTTTTTTATATATTTATTGCTCGTAAAATATTTGTTAGTTATATTTTTATTTAAATTAGATATGAAAATATATGATAGAAAAGTGGTTGAAATAGATTAGTATGATAATATATAATATAAATAAATTTGTGTCAAAATTAATTTAGATGAGCATGATAATAAGTTTTTTTTTTCATTATCATAGAATTTCTCTTCTTATAATTAAAAATAATAATAAAAATATTTAAAACCATAATGTCAATTTCAAGCTAAAATGGAAAAGTTTGAGAGTATTTTTAAAGTCAAATTTTGTGCCCTCGCCGATAAAAAATCATGGCTCCGCCACTGCTTGTATTGCCATTGGTGTACAGCTTTGCGTAGCCATTGATGTCTATAAATAAGTGTAATAGGTTGTAATAGAAAGGCAAGCCGATAAGCAAAATAGCTCTCTTATATTCCTCCAAGATCCTAACAATTTTTAAGTGGAATGTAGATGATAAACTGTTTTTTAATTTAAAAGAAATATTTTAACCTTCCGACTGTTCGTTCCTACCTCATTAATTCAATTCTCCGGACTAAGTCGTGCCATTAGCAAAACATATTAACTTTATTCAAAATTTTTTGCTCGTTATCTATATGCATGGGATTTAAAATTTAAATGAATAATTTAAATTCTAAGAAATTTAATTTTAATATTTTATGTATTGATAACGGTTTTATTTAAGTTTCATAAATTTCTATCAAAATTTTTTCATTGGGATTATAAACAAAAGGGTTAATCGCCCGTTCAACTTACTTTTGATTTTTAAATAATTAAATTATTTATTATAATTTTTTTATTATACCTTCTCATGCTTGTTCAAATTTTTAGGGTTCTGAAAAATAATGAATTCTTCGACCCCTTATTCCTATTGTATAATTCTTTGAACAAAACTCTTTTGTGATAATTACTTATAAAATTACCGTTTTTTTCTTTTAGTTTTTGGTTGGGTTATACGTAGGGGTGTCAATTTTTGACACGATCCGAACCCGACCTGAAAAAATTCATGTTCGGGTCAACCCGACCCGAAACGGGTCTGGTTCGGGTTGAACAAATCAAACCGTTTTAAAAATCGGGTCGGGTTCGGGTTGACCCAACAACCCGAAAGTGACCCGAAAGTGACACGAGAACTCATATTTGACCCGAAAATCCGAAATTGACCTGTTTTTGACCCGAAAATCGAATATTTTAGGTCAATTTCGAGTCATTCGTGTCGGGTCTGGTTGACTCGGACCCGAATTGGGTCGGGTTCGGGTCCAAAAACCTGACCCGTTTTTAAAAACGGGTTGGATTCGGGTTGACCCAAACAGTGCAGGGTCAGTTCCGGGTTTGACTCGAACCCGACCCGCTGATCCGAATTGACACCCCTAACTATACGCAATGATTGACTGATTGTAGCTTTTTTATTATTTTTTTTTGCTGAGTTACGTTTATAATTCACTATTTTTTATGATAATTGATTGACTCTGTCATCATAAAAAAAACCCCTTTTTTAATTGATAATGAAGATATAAATTACGAGTCTGGAAAGAAAAAAATAAGAAGGGATCACAAATGAACATGAAATACTAATCATAGCAGTCCAAAGATTCAACTGCCCGCTGGCCATGTAGTCGCCCAATCGCTACCCAATTTCCATTTTTTTCCACGCGACAGAGCTCCGACCAAATGGTCTCTTCTTTCTATCTCTCTTTTCCGTTCTGCGCTCTGCAACGCCAATTCGGAAAGACTCTTTGGTCACCCTCGCCTTTCCAAAAAATCGAAGGCAACTCATGGTAAAGGAAAAGGGACTCCAGATAGGGCGTAGATATTCCAGCGAGGGTTCTCTTTCTTTAATCTCTTTCATGGGTGCTTCCGATCGATTCCGCCTTTTCTGGTTTTTCTGGCTTTCCTTGTGGATGATGGCGGCGGAGGGGCAACAGGGGCCCTCCACTATTTGGAGTTTCAGCCGCCCGAATATATGGCTGAGGCCTTATGATTGGGCTTACTTGAGAGGTAAGCGCCGGGAGTTTTCTCTGTCATTTAATCATCGTGGCCGTTTTCTTCATCTCCCTCCCTCTTCTGCTCCGTTTTGTTTTGCTGCAACAAAGTTTTGATCTTTCGTTATAATTTCTTTTCTTCCCTCGTTTTTTGTGATGGGTTTTCTGGAATGTTTTGGATTCGGAAGGAGGTTTACTGGTCTTTGGGTGTTTGTCGCCGGAACAAATTTCTGATGGATTGGAAAATGGAGAGTTGTTTAGCTCAAATTGAAATTTCTTAGGTTAGAAGCTTGTGTATGTGATGTGTGTGCGAGTTTGACTTAGAAAAAAAACTTACAGAATCTGGAATCTTGTTGCGACTTAAATTCCGAATTTAGTAAATCCTAGCATTGGGTAAAGTTAACTTAAATTCTTAATTCTTACAAACTCCTATTCTTCTTCACGTTGTTGATCCCTTCTTAGACAAGCTCCAATTGAGACTTTCTTACTTCTTTGTCTCCAAAGGTTTTGGAAATTTAGGGGATAGGGATTTGGGAGAGGAAGATGAGAGCTTTTGTTGGCTAACATTAGCAATTGTACGTGCATATAATGTGTGTATATATATATATATATATATATATATATGTATGTATGTGTGTGTGTGTGTGGTGTTTGTCAAAAATAATATTTGTTAATTAAAATTTAATTATCTTATGCTAATTAATATTCTTTTTTATTTAATTTTTCTTACAATGAGTTATTAATTAGTTTTCTTAGTAAAATACTAATTAATTATTAATTGTGATATTTAATTATATTAATTATGATTTAATTAGTCTTATTAAGGTTGATATAAGCAAACTATAAGAAGATTTCTCATTCATATGTATCTTTAAATCTTGAAATAAGTAGTCAGTCAATTTATTTGAATTTTGTTGGATTTAACACTCTTTATACAACATAATTTTAAAAATTTAACCCACATAGGATATAGTGAATCCGGATCTATTGGATTTACTAAATCCTACTTGCAGCCAAAGAACCCCTAAGTAGCATCAGGCAATCTTCATGAGCAGCCTACACTTACAAGAATCTTGCATTTTCGGCTTGTTTGACAACTTTTGGTTTTGTTTGCTCTCTGTTTATCATCATCCTTTGTAATCTGTACTGCTTTTGGTACTAAAGCTTATCCTATTCAGAAATGAAATGCTTATAGTCTACCTTAGTCTATTTTGCTTTATGCTTTTCTAACATATCTTGTGGAAATGTTGGTTCTTTGGTAAGGAGTAAGCAGCACCAGTGATGTAATTGTTTGAAAAAAAATCCCAAGAATCTCATGGTTTACCTATCTAGCGAATTTGATCACTTTGGTTTCAGCTTTTGTAGACTAGAGTGTGAATGGTACATTTGTACACACTAATGAAGTCAACATTTATAATGCAAAACAACAACAAACTTTTAACCCATTACGTGGGTCGGTTACATGAATCATTTTTCTCCATTGTGTCTTATTAAGGGTCAAATTCTCATTTAATTTAATAAAAAAGGTCATTTTTAATACTTTTTAACTAAGTTTTTTTAGGCCTACTATGTATTTAATAAATCTACTATCTTAACAAGGTCATCGAAAGGCGACATTTTATGTGACAAAATCATGTAAGGCGACTCTTTCTAATTTTATTTTCCGTTGGAGTTACTCGAACCTTTTCAAGTATATACTCGTTTCATATTTTATCTCTAAATATAAAGTCACTCATCCACCTTAGCATCCTGATCTTTGCAACACTTAATTTTATGCTTCTCTTTTAATGACCTATATTCTGCGCCGCCATGAAGCATGAGTGGTCTCACCACCATCTTACAAAAAATTTCCTTATTTCACTGGTCCTTTGAGCAATAGACCCGAGATATCAAAACGTGCTCTCTTTTTAATGACTTGGTCATCCAATGTCACAATTCCACAACTAGACTATTACTACTGGAATTACACTTCATGTATTTGGTTTTAGATCTTTTCAAACGAAAACCTTTAAACATCAAGGTTAATGCATTAATCATAAATTCAAAGCTTTGTAAATTGGGACTCTTAAAAATATCTTTCATTGCATCAGTTTATTTCTGCTATCTCAGCTATTGTCAGATCAACTCTAAAATTACAGTGCGTTTCTTAATGCTCCATGGTAGTAATTTAGACTTGAATTTATTGTGTTAATTCATAGATATAAAAATTCTTCAAGCACCTACGAAACTCCTAAATGATCTTTTAAAAGTTTATATGAAGAAAAAAGTGAAAGTTGGAGAAGACCCTATAAACCACTTGCATTCCACTTGGTTGAATTGGAATCATTTGCTACGTTCATTTGGGAGGTGTAATATGACTCTTACTAAGGGTATTTGATATGCTTACCTTTCTTTACCTTTGCTCAGTCTTTTATGATCAATGTCGAGTGTTCTTAGTATTTTGACATATACTCTACTTGATCTGAATTTAATTATGTACCATCTTTTTTTCACTTAAATCGCTGTATTTCTTTGATGAGGTTGATTCAAGTCTAATGCTATGTTTTTTCGGTTCGAAAAGCTCAAGCTAGAACTCTGCACTTCTTTTGTCTCCAAACTTTATTAATAATGAATTTATAAGTTTTTGGTAGCTCTCCTTGATAAAGCAAAGAAAAGGAAAAGAAAAACATAGCATGCAAAATTATTCTGATATATGTGCTAGGATTGTTTGAAGAACATATCATGCAAAAGTCTTCATTTTTTTCTAGCCTCAGAATTTCTTATTTCTTGTCTGTCTTCCTCCTGAGTTTCATTGGACTTAATGCCTGTCTTGATGCAGTTGACGTGCCACTTTGGTTCTCTTCCGTAACAATGATTTTCACATCAAGTGTTGAAATTGTAAGTATGCTGATATATTGTCAGCTAAATATATTTGGAAATAGTTGTTTGTTAAGTCCTGATTTATTTTTACATTGCTTTGAATAGCTAGGATTTGTTTCTCTCTAATTCTTTCTTAGTTAATAGACACAACTTTAATCTAATTAGAAATTTCCATCTCTCTTCTTTTATGGTTGTATTTCATGTAGATGTCATAACCTGTAGATCCAATTACAGCACTCGATTCTTTCATAAATAAAAACATTTTACCTTTTTGAATAGTGTTTAGTATTTCAATGAAACCTATGATTTCTTACTATAAAAAGGATTCTCTGATGTTTTAGAAGTTTCAGAAGGTAGCTATAGAAGGAATGGATTGAGAGCTGAAAAGTGACTGAATGGACAGTATTCAAATGGCTTACCCTTTTTTCCTTGTTCTTTCTTTTTGTATTACATGGCTAATAATTAGTTATAGGGGATGCATTATCGACTTGTTAGTTGTTAGTCTGACAAGTTGCACAGTACTTCCTTTCTACAAGTTTTTCATGTTCACTTAGTCATCTTTTCAATTTTCTTTTAGTTACGTTTGTAGTATCTTTTAAGGACAATATGACATCAAATTTGTATGCTTTTTTAATAAAGCTTCATAACTAAGGCTTCGTTTGGGACGGTTTTCTTACTGCTTTTTAAAACAGCTTTTTAGTACAAAAGTTTAAATTTTTATACTAGGAAGCTGCTTTAAGAAGTAGTAAAAAAGTCGTCCCAAACGAAGCCTAAGTGTTTTATGAAGGTGACTCAATGTCATATTGTGCTCTTAATCTCAATTATACATATGCATATGCACTTGGCAGGCTCTTATGACTTCCTAAACTACTGGTTTTCCTTTGTCTTAATTTTTTTTTTCTTCTAGTTGCCATATATGTTCACTCATTTTCTTATGTGAATTTCTTGCTTATTCTTTGGCATATAATCTAATTGCATAACCATTTGGCTGCAATGCTTATGGCTTGATTTTACAGGATAAGGAACAACTTAAGAAGGTTCAAAAGAGCATGCTTCCAGTTATATGCTTCAATGAAGGCCGTCTGCCTCTTCCAGATGTTTCAGATACTTATTTAGATTATTTATGTAAGCTTCATCATTTAGATGCAAAGCATAAGTATTTATGCATTAATTTCATTTTCCAGCATTTTATTTTTCTCTGTTCAACTTTTTTATTGGTTTTGGTGTAATGCATTAATATACTTGAAAGATTAAAAAATAATGAGTTAGTTTTGCAAGAAAAATACTTCTAGGTGTTGTCATTCTCTGTCACACAGAAATAATCATTTGCAGGGAATAAAACTATGTTTTTTATTGCAGTGTCAAATTTTATCGCTAATGGAACTTCTGATGGCGCACAATATCTTCCCAATTTGGAGCAGTGCATTCCATTTCAGAAGAACCTAACAATTACTTTGACTAAAGACAAGGTTGTTATGATAGTTCTAAGCATTTAGCATTTAAGCTCAAACAATTTATAGCTGAGCTAGTTATGAATATGGTATTGACATATTGCTCCGCCACGTCGATCTCTTACCTTAGCTTGTTTATATTAGCATATTTCTCGCTAGTGTTAATGCGTATTTATATGACATAAGTGCTTAGAATTTGTGCATATTTATGGTATTTTCAGAGGGTTGGGGAGGAGGGACCATGGTGCTAATCAATTACTTTTTATTAATAGCCAGGCATCAAAATATCTTGTAACATGACTGTCTGATAATGAGACCAATGGTTTTAGTAATTTCATTAAAAAAGTTCCTGTTTTTTAGGATGAACAACGAGATAGCCGTTACCTTTTTTGTTTTATTTAAAATGGAAAGTATCTATTTGTGTTTCCTACCAACATGCCAGAGCTTTATAGCTCATCATTTTTAGCACTATCTTTGTTTTTGGCATTTGAGACCACTCAAGAAGTACGCATCAAATAAAAATGATGTTCATGTACTTGAGTGGCAGTTTGTATCAAAAGCAGCTTGGCTTGCCTTATCTTCCTTAGATCTACATAAAATGCTTTTGTCATGTCTTCCTTATCATATATTGGAATAGGAGTATTCTTAGAGAACATCTTTTTATCTAATCCCTCATGATAAGCAAATATTTGTCAGCAGAATAATTAGCAAAGTAATCTAAAATAAATATAAAAAACAAGTGTTTTGGTATTTTAAGGGAAAAATGATTTATCTCTAGCCAAATTATTTGGATTAGAACAGCATTTATAATGCCTCCAAGATGCTTGTAAAACTTACAAACATAAAGCTAAGCTTTTATGCTAATCAATTTTGCACTAATTATTACTATTCCTTTGGAAATTCTCTATTCGACGCATCTAAGAATTCCCTTACAAAGGATTGCAAAATTCATTTAGAATGCAAAACTTAAGTTTTTGGTCCACCATCTGCATTCTTTCTCCATGCACTATCATGTGGAGATTGGAGATTATTGGAAGAGAAATTTTGGGAGTTTAAGGATCTTGGAGGCTTTCCAATAATGAAGTCTAGGGAAATAATGATGCCAATGATATAATGAATTGACCCCATTGGATTAGTCACTGGTTGGGTTTATTACATCAAATAATCTAGGCCTTGTGGGCATGCCACTTGAAGCTACGTAGAATGCAACCTGTAATAGACATTAAGAAGACTTCAAAAATAACAGCAAGGAAGAATTTAAGCAATTAATAAGGCTACCTTTTACCTATTCACCTCATAAAGAGTGCCAGATGATTTTGATAATCTGAAATGGGCGTCTTCTATCCTTTCATCCATATTTGAAAGTTTAAATATAAATTGCTAATTTTATGACAAGGGTTGCCTAATCACACTTGGAATTATGTAGATTGCAACATGTAATTGACTGTAAGAAGGATACACAAATGACTACAAGCAAGGTTGAAGGAATTAACATGGACACCTTGTAATTCATATCATCAAGTAGTGTCAAATCACAATGGTGAACTTAAAGACAGTTGTGACCCCTAGAATGTTGGGAATAATGTGAATAATAGGATTAGGGCGTAACTATGAGATATATTGTTGATAAAATTATTTTAATTTATTATATTCTTTTGAAATTAATTTTTGAATAAATTTAATTGAGCAGCTTGATAAGCTTATGAGTTGAATTGGGCCGAGCTCCAACTTGAGCTCCAGTTCATATAATATATAAGCCCGAGTTTCAACTCAAGCTTGAACTCATGAGTCGATAAGCTTGACTCTTAAGCTCATTAATGAGTTGAGTTTGAGCCAGCTAGCAAGCACAAACTAACTTACTTACGCCCCTACTTCTTTGTGAAAGTAGGGTGGGAGGTGGCTGTTAAGGGGGAGTTGGGAGATTACAATTTATATTGATGTAGTTGCGTTGAAACACCCTTACCAGTATTGCTTCTTTAGCATCACCTTTGTTTTTTTGTCGACTTTTCACCTTTGTTGTACTACTTACTACTTACTTATAATTATGATCCCGTTCATCACATTGTTGCTAGCTCATCATCTTCGCTTCACCATTGTTGTTGCTCTTCATTAGTTTCATGAGTCATAACTCTAGGAGGGTTAAGAAGCTAGTAAAGGCAAAGGCATTCTGGAATATTAATTATCCGTTATTAGTATAATTTAGCATGATCTACATGTAAATGAAAAAATTAATGTTATAATTATGAAATTTTAGCTTATATAAACTCTCTAATAATACAAGTAATCAATTTCAAGATGAAGTAAATTTTTATCATATGATTACTAATATTATAACTAATGCAAATAATAAAATTTGTAAATAAAGTAATTAAAAATAAATTCATTTTAATTCCCAAAAATTAATTTTTGCAATATTTAAGGTATGTTTTGAATAAATATAGATAAAATATAATTAATTTTAGGTTTGTGTTCATCATCCTCGAGGTTTTTGATAAGTCTAGTCAATCAATTTACTATGAATTTGACTAAAGCTTATAAACTAACTACAATGACTTTAGACCTTGGACTTTCTCTAGAGTCTTTATGAATTGCACAAATTGAGTCCATCCTTCAAATAGAAAATACTCCAAGTTAGTTTAGTACTTTAGTGGAAGTAATCTTTCATCTTGATGGTTGTTTTTTAAATGATTAACCTAAAAGAAAATACTTAGTAAATAATTAGGCGACTCTACATAAAATTTGTTATAATCAAATAACAAAAAATTCACACATGTGTCACAGAGGCTTATGTGGTCAACAAGCTCCATTTTTGTAAATATATATTTAAATTTTAATGCTCCTGCTATGTTAATGAGTTGTCCGTTCTAATAGAAATGAGATCAGGCCTTGGGACAGTTTGACTAAAAGTGTCATTTGTATGCTCAACCAGTGTCATTTGCATTTGGGCAGTAGTTCTTAATTGAAAGAATCCTTAGCATTTAGTGGTTCAAGTGAAGGAACCTCAATTGCAAGCTGACATTCTTGAGCTTATAACCACTAATTTCAGATTTTTATGGCTTCCTTCTTCATTTTAAGCAGCCCTTAAAATATATACTCAACTCATGCTAGGACTTACTATACAGGTGTCTCCAGGACAATTTTATGTTGGATTTTTTAATGGCCTTGGACCTGAACGTACTCAGTCAAAGATGGTAAGTTCTATTATTAGTTTCAACTTTCTGAATGTTCGAATCTTACGAACCTGCAATACAATTGCAGATTAGCAGAGGCCATTCATACACGCTAAGTGCCAGCATAAATGTAGAAGGATGTGCTTCTTCAACAAAATGGGGTGATTACTGCAACAGTACAATTGATTTGATTTCTTGTTCTCAATCTTCTAACTACAAGCACCCGAGGACTCTTTTAGATGCCAATTTTTACATGAGCAGGAATGATTTGGACCTCAAGTATGCTGGTGACAATTTGGAAGCTAACAGTCATGCGATATCTGTTCCAAACCCTGTTAAAAGGAAAAGAATGGCTCTAAGTTCCAATCTCTCTCTACCAGCGGAAGTTTTTGTCAGCTGTAACAATTCTATGATGTCATGTGTTGGCAATGGAGAGCTAAAGTTCTTCTCTTTGGATATAGTAGCCCCAGTAACTCAGTTCAGCATCAATGCTGCAGAGTTAATGTTTAATCAAACATCTAAAAGTTCAGCTGGTTTTGATGGAATTCTTGTTATGTGTTATGCTCGATATAATGCGATGCCACTTAGTACTTTACATGATCATTCTGCAGATATAAGCAGGACCCCCTTAGTAGTTAATTCACCAAAAATTGGACAGTGGTTTGTTGCTCTGCAGGTTCAGAATCAGAAAAGAAAAGATGAAGAAATGCAAGGAAACTTTTCTGAGGCCACACTGTGCTTTTCTTTGGAGTGGCAATTGTATCAGTGCGATAATGGAAAGACTGGACAGAACTGCACCTGGGAATCACATTTGCTTCAGGTACGAGTAGCTCCAATAGTGTTGACCCAAGTAGTACCCGATTTCCATTATTTTGCTCATGTAGTTGTATCCATAGGTCGTAGTTGAAATTCTAAATATGACTTGTTAGGTAATTTAAGCCTGAAGAACAACCACAGCACCTGAAAGGCTATTTTGAATATAAAAAAACATGAATTGGGATTTACCTTTTTTTTGGGACCTACAATGTATATGTTATGCTATACTAATGGAGAAGTTTTTGTTTCCTTTGTACGTTATAAATTTAGGGGAAGAGTTGCTTGTGAAGACTAGAAACTTGATTTTACTTATCAGTGGTTCAAACTGATAAGGTTGAATTCATGATTAAATATCGGCTTGTCCTAATCACCGATGGATAGGAATTAAAAAATTGATATGCTTATTTCAGCTGATTACTTGGATGCCACGTTTTTATTGACTATCATATGGGAGAAGAAACCAAGAATTTTTTAAAACGGAAAAACTTCACTTTTTTGTTTATTATTAAATTATAGAATATTAAAAAATGAGATAATTTTGTGTAAGCTATTTGTAAATTATATAGTCTAAATAGGTGAGAACTCGGTCGAAGTAATTGAATAGTTAGAACAACAATATCAAGCCTTTTATCCCACTATGTGGGGTCGGCTACATGAATCCTTTTTCTCCATTGTGCTTTGTTAAAAGTTAAATTCTCATTTAAATCTAATAAAGAAATGTCATTTCTAATATGTTCTAACTGAAAAGTTAGAACAATGAAATAAAATAAAATAAAAAGTTTAAGATTTAATACAAATCCAAGTATATACTATGTCAATTTAATAGAAGTAAAATAAAATTATCAATACATTTTTCTGGAAGATCAAATAAAATCTTGAAGTGATGGGTTTAAATATCATTTATCAATTAAACAAAAGAATGAGGATCTAGATGATAGTATAATTTTTAGAGTTAATGTTTGGTAGCTAAAATGGAGGATTGCCTCAAGAGCACCATGCTATAAGAGAATATGATTGAGAGTTAGGACTTAATGGTAAAGTTTATAAAATAATTGTTAAGTCAAGTATGCTATATAGATCAGAGTGTTAGGAAATAAGTCATTGATTGCTAAGTTGAGGCGGCAAAAATGAGAATAGAGATGAATGTATGATCAATTAAGTACTATAGATCTAGAAATGATTATATTAAATATATGGTAGGAATTAAACCTATTGAGAGTAATATGATGAAAAATATATTTTAGTTATTTTGGCATGAACAATGAAGGGTAGCAGGTGAATCTATAAAATGAGTAGATACAATTAATGTGGAAGAATTATGATGAAGAATGGGTAAATTAAAGATAGCATGTCTAGAAACCATGCAAAGGATTTATGCAAAAGAGTGATGAAGATATGAAATTATGCACTCTCCAAAAATACAAATATTGAGCATTCATATTAGCAAATTAACAAATCAATCACTATTTTATTTTCATTTTGTAATTTTTCTTTTTCACATTATTTTATTATTATTTTTGGTTTATTTCATTAAACATGCTTGTGATGGTATGGCCTATGAGAATGAGAAGCATTATTTATCATTTTGATCATTGTTTTGGAAGGGGAAGTGTAAGTCAAGGCATAAACATCATGAATTTTATATTTTAAATATTGTATCAATATGATTAAAAATCAAATATAAGGACACAAAATTGAATTAAATTCCTAAATATAAAATTCATAATCATTTCATTCATATTTCAACTTCAAAATCTAATAAAACAATTAGAAAACATTGGTGGAGAATTTGAATGTATTCTTGAAAAGTAATATAATATGCATTCAAGAAAGTTCTACTGATATACAGATAATGATTACTTGCAGAGAGTAATTCGAAAAGGTGCAAGTATTCCCCTTGAGTCTTTTTACCTTCCAGTGAGTGAATATGGATCCTTGGAGGGTACTAATTTTCAACTAGATCATCTTTTAAGCAACTCTTCTGTCGACAATGTTGCGTGGACTTATTTCTTCTTGGATGTTCCTCACGGTGCTGCTGGATCTAATCTGCATGTTCAATTAGTAACAGACAAGGATGCAGCCTATGAAATTTACACCAGATATGGTGGTGCTGTATCCATTGATAATTGGGATTTTTCTGTAAATAGCACAAGCAATAGCAATGGATCAATGCTTGTGACATCTAATGACTCAAATAAAGGAAGAATAGAATTCTACCTTCTTTATGTCAGGGAAGGAATTTGGAGTATTGGAGTACGGCACGCCACTGATGTTGGTGAACACCAAAGTTCCATGTCCATTACACTCGATGGTTGCCCCAAACATTGCTCTTCCAATGGACAATGCCATTATTCTGTTGATGAGAGTGGATTGACATTTTTCAGGTAATTTTTGTTTTTAATTGACTGCTGCAGCCATGTTTATGGTTTCGTTTGGGACGGCTTTCTGATTGCTTCATAAAGTAACTTTTTAAGTTGCTTTAAGAAGCTGAAAAAAAGAGTCCCAACCGAAGCCTATATCTTACATGAAAATTCTTCTCCTTTCTGAAGCCTGTTTAATTTCACCTTTGAATTCAGCTACTGCTCTTGTGACCGAAACCATGGAGGTTATGATTGCAGCAATGAGCTTGTCTCACCTCAAGGTGAAATTAATTCATCACATAAAGCAAACTTATTTTTAATATATGCATGATGACACTTTGTTTGTAGCGTAATTAAGATAGAGATCATGGTGATTGGAATAACAGTAAAGCGTGTTTCTACTTTCTGGCAAATTGTTAGTTAAGTACCCCGCTCTGGACATATTTATAGTTTCACATGGTAAAAGAAAAACAAATAAAACAATGAAGCGCTAGAAAAGATGAAAGTTTTTTCCTTACTTTCAGATCTTGTGGTTAGATAAATTTGGTATTTATAGAAACTGAGTAAGTACAGTATATATAGGAAGATGAGGATGAAAGAACTATCAAAATGTTCTTCCATGCTTTTTTTTTTTAAATAATTACTTCATACCCTTCAACCTAGTCTGTATACCTGAGAGTGGATTCATGTTGACGCATGGGAGAGGTTGTAGATCTACGAGTTATCTTCTGGATTAAAGTTCCCTCCACAACTATTAAATTCCAAAGAAATGAGTCTCCATAACTCAACACTGTGTACTTGGAACTGTAGTTACGCACCCTTAACGTTACAAAAGTCTGTGTGAAACATAATTACAAGCTGAATGTGTAATCATGTGTGAAAGACTTGAACCCAATAGAGTTTTGCACAGGCATCCATTTGTTGAGTGGTACACCCCGATAATACAGGGCGCAATGAAGGCATATCAACACATGTTTTGTACTCACAAGAAGGAAAGTGCATAGACCAATAATATAATTGAATATATCAGAGTAAATAATGTAAGGGAAATTGAAATTTCATTTCATTATGAATTAAAAAATAGTACATCAATGCAAAAAGACTATAACAAGCAAAATAATAAATGAGAGGAAAGAAACTACCCAACTCTCAAATACATAATAATTTTTTTTTAAATACATAATAATTTGCTATAAAATATATAATAATCAATATACTCTACTGTTGATAACTCAACTCCTGTGGTAATGTTTATAAAACACATAATGGGATAAAAACTTGTTGTTGTTGTAAAGGCAAGTATGTTTATACTAGAATAAATAACATTTACTTATTGAGGTCGCTTCTAAATTTAAGTTTGGCTATAGGTTGCATGCTTCTACCAAACAAATGCTCCCCAATAAATGAAATCAAACGGTTATAAATATCATTGTTATGCACATCTACAAGGATATGCCGCCAACTACAAGGTCTATATACACACACACGACTTATTTCTAACTAAATACTATTCTCAAAAAATAGAGACCTTCTCCTCAAGTAAGACATAAACCCGCAAGAATAGGATTTAGAGACAACAATTAAAACTAATATTAACCTAATGCACTTTAACATTATAAAAGGAATAACAAGTAGAAGAAAGGAAGGAGGAAAAAGTGAAGAAGAAAGGTTTGTTGATAGATGCTTATTGTGGACGAAGAAGAATGCAAGGTGAGAAGAGCGAGGGGAAATTTCAATGGTTGCAGTAGAGAGAAAGAAGCGAAGAGGAAGGAAAAGAGGGAGGGTGCTTGCTCGGTGGCTGCTGTGAGAAGGAAAGGGTAGGTATGATGCCCTAGCTTGCCTTTTGCTTTAAATGGTGAGGCGGAAGGTCGTTAGGAGGTAGGAAAATCGTGTGATTGTCATGATTGGAGAGAGAGGCATCGTGCAAAGAGGGTCGGAGATGGTTTCGATCATGAGAGTTATGGCTTTGGTCTGTGTGATGGGGGGAGATGGATCGGAGCTGGTTCGGTCTGTGCTTGGACCAAACTAGATAGGTTTATAACACACTTGGTGTGCTCCATTGTAAAAGCCAAACAAGGCCAATTTCCTCATTCCCCCTCCCCTTTTCTTAAGCAGTATGAACCCAAACTCAAATGGATATGATATAACAAAAAGTACCCTAATTGTTACTGAATGGTCCAAGATCAATAAAATTAAACTTAAGTATTACAATTCACCGCAATCTATAAAAATAATGAATATAACCAACATTGCAAAAGTAACAACAAGATAATTTTTTTATTTGTGAATTAAATGCTTACATTAGCAATAATATAATTCTTCTACCTATACACATGGAAAAAATAGGTACTATTTTGTTATGCCGGTCCAGCTTGGACCGGCTCTACCTGGACCGGCCCAGCCGGTCCAGTTCTACAAACGGCGGACACAGAGGAGCCGCGCGGAAGAGAGAGAGAGCCAGGGAGTGGGGTCCACTTGCAATTCAAACATGGGTTAAGTGTTTTTGGAGGAAGAAGGAAGGGTAGAGTAGTCCTTTTGCTTTTAATTTGAATTAGATTGTATTAATAGGGAGTTATGAGGGGATTAGGCGATCATCTTGTTTTTGAAAAGAGTTTGGTGTTCTAGGTTTTCTTGCTTGGGCTCTTGGCGTTGCCGGAGATCGTTGGAGAGTTGTTCTTCCTCTCGAATTGAAGAACATTGTATCTTGCTTTGGTTTTGTTGGTCTACTAGTGGAATACAATCGTTTCTATTGTTTTCCAAGAATTTCTCCCTACTTTTCTACTGTTTTTGGCTGTTTTTCTGCTGTGGACAGCAGTTTTCATCTTGGATCTATTTGTTTTTGGTGAGAGACACTTGGAAATCCAAGGGGTTCCTATCAAATTGGTATCAGAGCGAAGATCCGGACGGTGGGGGGCTGTTTTCCACTGTTTCGCTGCAGATTTTTGCGTTTCGGAAGGGATCCGGAGACCATTTTTTGGTTCCCATGGCATCTAAACGTGTAGAAGTCTTGGAGACCGAAGTGGGTCAATTTAAGGCGGATCTGGAGGAGAAGATGGCGACGTTGAGTGAGAATATGGAAGGGAAATTCATGGCATTGGAGGAGATGATGAAAAAGTTGTTGGAAGGGCAAGCAAGAGCTGTGCCAGCGGAGGAAAGAGGAGAAGGTAGTGGGAGCAAGGGTAAGGAGAAGGCAAAGCCGGAAGGGGAAGAGGAGGTGGAACTGCTTGGTAGCAACGGAAGAATGCTGCATCGGGAGTCCATCAGGCGGGAAGAAAGAGAGGATGATTGGCGTCGTCGGAGGCCCGACCCAGTGGACCGGCCATGGGGGATCCATAACCACCATGGCGGAGCGCGAGGGGAAGATGGCTATCGGCGGCCGAGGAGGGAGGATGAGCCCCGATATGGAGAAAGAGGAACTTGGGAAGACCCCATTGCCTGGGACAGAGGAGGCCATGGGGGGAATAGGGCATACGGGGTGGACACGAGGGCCAGAAAGCTGAAAATGCCAGTGTTCGAGGAGGGAAATGTGGATGAGTGGATCCACAAGGTGGAGAGGTATTTTGCAGTGAATGGCCTGATGGAGGAGGAGAGATTGATGGCGGCTAGTATGTGCTTGGAAGGGGCGGCTTTTGCCTGGTTCAAGTACATGGATAAGTGGGATCCGGTGAGGACTTGGAGGGACTTCAAGGAAGCTATCAGGGAGAGATTCAGGGGGAGCAGCCCATGGGAGATCTCCGAGCAGTTCTATGCCCTCACTCAGGAGGGAACAGTGGAGGAATACAGGAAGAAATTTGAGAGCTTGGTGGGAGACATGGAGGGCCTATCAAACAGTACGTTGGGGGGGAACTTTATGAAGGGCCTCAAACCCGAGATCAGAGATGCAGTGAAGGTCATGAGACCAAGAGATCTGAGGGAGGCGATGGAGTTAGCTCAGTTGGTGGAGAACCAGAAGACCAACGCCCGCTCGTGGAGGAACAACCACTCAGGAGGTCCCACCAGGACCACTACCACTTACTTGGCTCCAAAAGGACCAAGCCCCATTCTACCTAGAGAGAGTGGAAAGGAGAAGAGCGGGGTGACTAGATCTGCTGGAAGCTTCAAAAAATTGACTGAGGAGGAGATGCAGGAGAAGAGGGCCAAGGGCCTTTGTTTCAGATGTGAGGAGAAGTTTGTTCCAGGACATAGATGCAAGGATCGCGCTCTTCGGGCTCTCACCGTCTATATAGACGAGGCGCCTGAGGAGGGTGATGACTCTGATGAGGAGCAGAGTGACCCCCAGTTGGAGGTGGCCGAGGTATCCCTCAATTCAGTGATGGGATTTACTCCTAGTCATACCATGAAGGTGAAGGGGAAGATCCATGGGAGGGAGGTAGTAGTACTGATCGATAGTGGGGCAACCCACAATTTCATATCCACCCAGGTGGCGGAGGAGCTGGGGATAGAGCCTACTGAGACAGGCAGTTATGGGGTGATGATGGGGACAGGAAAGATTGAGTCTAGCACGGGGATCTGCAAGGGAGTGGAGATGAGCCTACAGGAGATCAGGGTGGTAGAGGACTTCCTACCCCTGAAGTTGGGTAGCACAGATGTCATTTTGGGCATGAAGTGGCTACAGACCTTGGGTGAAACCAAGGTGAACTGGGGAACCATGGTGATGGAACTGATGGTAGAAGGCAAGAGGGTGAAGCTGAGGGGGGAACCAGGTTTGTCCAGAGCTGGAGTGTCACTCAGGTCGATGGTGAAAATTATCCATGAGGAAGGAGGAGGTTTCCTGGTGGAGTTGCAGAGCTTGGAGGATCAACAGCAGGGGGAAGAAAAACACATTCCTGCGTCGGTTCAGCCCTTTCTACAGGAGTTCGAGGATGTGTTCCAACCTCCGGTGGGACTCCCACCTGACAGAGAGCGGGAGCATCAGATCATCCTGAAAGAGGGAGTCTCCCCTATCAGTGTGAGACCTTACAGATACCCTCAGGTGCAAAAAGATGAGATTGAGAAATTGGTGGGGGAAATGCTAGAAGGGGGGATCATTCAGCCCAGTGTGAGCCCTTTCTCTAGCCCAGTTCTGCTGGTGAAAAAGAAGGATGGGAGTTGGAGGTTCTGTGTTGACTACAGAGCTCTCAACAAAGAGACAGTGCCTGATAAGTTTCCCATCCCTGTTATTGACGAGTTGATGGATGAGCTGCATGGAGCTGCTTTGTTCACCAAAATTGATCTGAAGTCAGGCTATCATCAGATCAGGATGAGGAAGGAAGATGTGCAGAAGACAGCCTTCAGGACTCATGAGGGCCACTACGAGTTTCTGGTGATGCCTTTTGGCCTCACCAATGCACCAGCCACATTCCAGGCATTGATGAACCGAATTTTCAAGCCACACCTTCGCAGGTTTGTGTTGGTATTTTTTGATGACATTCTCATCTATAGCAGGACTGAGGAGGAACACCTAGAACACCTGAGAGTGGTGTTGGGGGTGCTAAGGGAGCATCAGCTGAAGGCCAATTTCAAGAAGTGCGACTTCGCTCAGGCACAAGTGGAGTATCTGGGACACGTGATATCCCAGGAGGGAGTGGCTGCGGATCAGTCCAAGATAGAGGCAATGCTGGCCTGGCCTCAACCCAAGACCTTGAAGGGGCTCAGAGGATTTTTGGGACTGACCGGCTACTACAGGAGGTTCGTGAGAGGATACAGCACCATAGCTGGACCACTGACAGAGCTGCTGAAGAAGGATAATTTTGTATGGGGGGAAGCAGCTTCTGAGGCTTTTGAGAAGCTGAAGAAGGCCATGACGACGGTGCCAGTGCTTGCTCTGCCAGACTTCAATCAGGTGTTTGTGTTGGAGACAGATGCTTCAGGCTATGGATTGGGAGCAGTGTTGATGCAGAACCATAGAGCCATAGCTTACTTCAGTCAGATACTGTCGTCCCGGGCTAGGCTGAAGTCGGTATATGAGAGAGAGCTGATGGCTATTGTATTGGCCATCCAAAAGTGGAGACCTTATTTATTGGGCAGACATTTTATTGTCAGAACTGATCAGAGAAGCCTGAAGTACTTGTTGGAACAGAGGATGGTCACAGAAGAGCATCAGAGGTGGTTATCCAAGCTGTTGGGATATGATTTTGAGATCCACTATCGGCCAGGGCTAGAAAATAAGGCAGCGGATGCCTTATCACGCTGTATGGAGGAGTTCCAGGGGATGGCGGTATCAGTACCTGTTCTGATAGATTGGGGAGCCATCAAAGAGGAGAGCATCCAGAATGAGGAGCTAAGGAGAATCAAAGAAGAGGTGCTATCAGATGAAAACAGCCACCCAGGCTACTCAGTGGTGGGAGAAAGACTGTACTATCAGGGAAGGAGTGTGATCCCTAGGTCTTCCATTCATATTCCCCAACTGCTACAGGAGTTTCATGGGAGTGCCATAGGTGGGCATTCAGGAGTGCAGAAAACTTATAGTCGAATTGCTGCTGAATTGTACTGGAAAGGGATGAGGAAAGACATAGAGGAGATGGTGGCTAAGTGTGACACCTGCCAGCGGAACAAGCACATGACGATGGCACCAGGGGGATTACTACAGCCTCTGGCCCTACCAGAGAAGGTTTGGGAAGAGATTACTATGGATTTTATTGATGGGCTTCCAAAATCAGAAGGGTACACGGTCATATTTGTAGTGGTTGACAGATTGAGCAAATATGCTCATTTCATTCCCTTGAGACACCCATACACTGCAGTATCAGTAGCAACAGCTTTTGTGAGAGAGATAGTCCGCCTGCATGGGGTACCTGAGTCTATTGTTTCTGATAGGGACAAGGTGTTCCTGAGCCATTTTTGGAGGGAGTTATTTAGGATGCAGGGCACAGTATTGAAGAGAAGCACAGCATATCATCCACAGACTGATGGGCAGACGGAGGTGGTGAATAGAAGCTTGGAGACATACTTGAGATGCTTTGTGTCTGAGACACCGAAGCAGTGGGCCAAATGGCTGGCCTGGGCAGAATACTGGTACAACACCTCCTATCACTCGGCTACCAAGATGACACCTTTTAAGGTGTTATATGGAAGAGACCCCCCACACCTGGTACACTACAGCCATAGGAGTACCCCTGTATCTGCAGTGGATCAGCACTTGAAGGAAAGAGATCAAGTGTTGGACGAGCTCAAGAGGCATCTTCTCAGAGCCCAACAGATTATGAAGAAACAGGCGGACAGTAAAAGGAGGGATATACAGTTTGGAGTGGGAGACAAGGTCTACTTGAAGCTCCGACCTTACAGACAGAGGACTATAGCCCAAAGGAGAAATGAGAAGCTAGCAGCGAGATATTTTGGCCCTTTCGAAGTGGAGGAGAAAATCGGGGAGGTGGCATACAGATTGAGGCTTCCTCCAACAGCCAGAATACATCCCGTTTTTCATGTATCACAGTTGAGGAAAGTGGTGGGGGAGCATGCAGTAAGCCCAGAGCTGCCCAGCACATTGAGGGAAGACATGGAAGTGACACTGGAGCCTCTAGCGGTAGAAGGAGTGCGCATCAATGAAAAGGGGGAAAAGGAAGTGAAAATTAGGTGGAGCGGCCTCCCAGATTATGAGGCCACATGGGAGCCATTGGAGAGGATTGCAGTGCAGTTTCCTGCCTTCCACCTTGAGGACAAGGTGGTACTTTGGGAGGGGGGTAATGTTATGCCGGTCCAGCTTGGCCCGGCTCTCCCTGGCCCGGCCCAGCCGGTCCAGTTCTACAGGAGGCGGACACAGGGCCGGGCGGAAGAGAGAGGGAGCCAGGGAGTGGGGTCCACTTGCAATTCAAACATGGGTTAAGTGTTTTTGGAGGGAGAAGGTAATAATTTATAAATGTAAATTTAATATATAATTTATAGGTGTAAATTATATTTAAACATATAACATAAATTAATAATAATTTATATTAAATTTATAATTTTATATGTAATTTTATATGTAAGTTAAATTTTGTTAAATTTGAATTAAATTTAAAGATTGAATATATTTAATTTAAAATTACATAAGTTATTATTAATGTGTGAATTCAATTTTTTTTTTACTAAAAAATTATATTATTACATGATTATTTTATCATTTAAATTTTATTTAAATAATTTTTATATTTATTACGCCATCCAATTTAACCCCGATTGAACCTCGCCTAAACCATTGAATTCTGAACCTCTCCTTCCGGTTTTATGTCCGATCCGATTTTCACAACCTTCGTTGGTGTTGTTATTTGTTTTATGTTTTTTTTGTTGCAAAAGCATACTTATCCTTGATTTTTTTTATGATTTTGAAACTAGTTATTTTGCTGGATTCATCTTTAGTGTATTGTTTGATGTGAATTCATTCTGATGGCAATGCATTGTTTATCTAGGCATTCGCCGAATGGGTACTCTTCACTTCTAGTGGGATTTCCAGTGGGCTATATCATGCTTGTGATGTGGGCAGCTGGTGTGCTCTCTCTTTTCATGCACTTCAGGTGTGTTGTACTTTATAGATCCATAGCTGCTTTTGAGGCAGGAAAATTTGCAAATTGCCTTCTCAGATTATTAACTGGATATTCTTATGACCCAGGAACAATCTTATAATAGCCTTCTCTGTTTATTTTTGTAAGCATTCGGGCTTTTAAGCTTTTTCTTGTTTGAATATATCGGACTTGTTTTTGTAACAGTTTATGGACTTTTGGCTTTCTTTCATGGCTGTGGTGAGCACCTTTGTATATATGGCCACTATAGATGAGGCTTCAAAAAGAGCCATTCACACTGCAGTTGCCATTGTCACTGCTCTCCTAGCAGTAACTGGCGCAACCAGGTGCTGATTATGAGTTGATTATTTCAAATGAGCTCCCAACTGAAGTACTGATTATGTGTTAATGATTGCAGATCAGAGAATGTTGTCATTGTCATAGCCATTGGCACCCTTGGTCTTCTTGTGGGTTGGTTCCTTGAGTTTTCTGCTGCATATAGATCCTTGTGGCCAATCAGATTTGACTTCAGCATGCTTGCCCGGTATGTTCTGTAACGCTTTTATTAATATTATGCCTTCATTTTATGGCACCATTTCAACAAAAAACAGTAATTTGCCGAATTCTGTACAATCGCCAATTACCGACTGATGCTCTTCAGCATCTAACATCTATTTCTCCAGGCTCCATGTCTATAATTTGATATTCCTGACGAATTCATTCAAGTTCTCATGTTGCATTCTGATCATGATACAGTTGGCAAAGTATAAAGAGATGGTGCTGGAATTTGATTACCACACTGCTAAGAAGATTCCGCTGGCCATTCATCTTTCTTGGTTTTTTGGGATTGGTTCTTGCTGGAACAAGCTGGACATTAGAAACCAACAGAAGCTACTGGTTTTGGCATAGGTATGTTTTTTTTTTTTTGAAGAGTAGCATAATACTAAGTTAAGTGTTGCAAGATGGGGATGCTCTGGTAGATGAGTGGCTTTACTCTTAGAGATATGATACGAAATGAGCATGTTCATTAAAAGGTTGTTGTAGCTCCAGTGGAAGATAATATTAGAGAGAGTCGTCTTAGATGATTTGGTCACATAAAACGGCTGTCTTACGATGACCCGGTTAGGAAAGTAGTGGTATTAAATTTGAGTTATGTTAAGAAAGGTAGAGGCAGATCTAAAAAGACTTGGTTAGAGAATATTAGAAATGATATTTCCTTATTAGATTTAAACGAGAATTTGACTTTTAACAGGACACAATGGAGAAAAATGATTCATGTAGCCAACCCCACGTAGTGGGACAAAGGTTTGATGTTGTTGTTTTTTGAAGAGTAGCAAAATATTGACACTGACTCGAGTAATAATAACTGATGTATTAAACTCTGCTATGTTGTGAATTACCACATACCATCTCCCCTAGGATATGGTATGCTCGATTATCATGCTTATTGGCTTACTAATATATGCGTACGTTTCATGTCCTTCAACATGTTAACTTATGTTTACTGATTTGTACCTTCCATAATACTGTGAAATTAACGATGTTCAAATGAAAAAAAATTATATTATATTATATTATCATGTTTTATGTTATGATATCCTTTGCTGTTGTAAAGGTTCATGTGAATTAAGTCCTTGCGCCACTGCAGTAGAGGCATGTGATGGTAAGCAATTTCTTTGTTGTTTTTCAAAGGTCCATTGTTGATAGGAATATGTGGTGTAGAAGATCATAAAACTAACAAATAAAATTTGCAAATCTGAGACATCCCAAACAATTATATAGATAATTTCGATGAAAAGAAATAAATTTGTCGGAAATCAGTTCAAGCAAAAACTCACTAGTCTTTTACTAGAAATTATTAAAGAAAATTAAAGGCTAATAAATCTACTCATATGTTTTGAAATTTGTGCTCTTAACCAAAAACCAGATTGTATCAAATATGCCTAAAAAAATTTCTCTTTCCAGCCAATAAAGAAAATATAGAAGAAAGTTGAAGATATTAAAAATAAATAAATTAGAAAGAAATTAATCAGAAATGTAATCTTAATGCTTGAAGAAGGAGATAACAAACAACAACAACAACAATATCAAGCCTTTATCCCAATAATGTGGGATTGGCTGCATGAATTCTTTTTCTTCATTTTGTCATGTTAAGAATCAAATTCTCATTTAAATCTAATAAAGAAATGTCATTTCTAATATCTTCTAACCAAGTCTTTTTAGGTCTACCTATATCTTTCTTAACATAAGCCAAATGTAATATATTACTCTCCTAACCGGTCATCAGAAGGTCATCGTTTTATATGACCAAACCATCTAAGGCAACTCTCTCTAATCTTAACTTTCACTGGAGCTACTCCAACCTTTTCACGTATGTGTTCATTTCGTATCCTCTCTAAGAGTAAAGTCACTCATCCAATTGAGCATCCTCATCTCTGCAACACTAAACTTAGCATTCTCATCTCTGCAACACTAAACTTAATATTATGCTTCTCTTTTAATGGCCAACACTCTGCACCATAATGTGTAGGTCTCACCGGCATCTTATAAATTTTTTCCTAAAATTGAGGGGTACTTTTCTATCACACAACAGGCCCAATGCATTCCTCCACTTCAGCCATCCAACTTGAATTCTACTAATAAAATCCCCATCTATTTCACCATTGTCATAAAGCATTGCAACTCTTAACTTAATTTTATGCTTATCTTTTAATGACCAGCATATTGCATCATAAAGCATTGTTAGATCTCACCTCCATCTTATAAAATTTTCCCTTAAGTTTTAGAGATACATTTCTATCACACAATAGGTCTAATGCATTCCTACACCTCAACCATCCAACTTGAATTCTACTAATAATATCATCATTTATTTCAACATCACATTGAACAATAGATCCGAGATATCTAAAACATGCACTATTTTAATGACTCAATCACCCAATGTCATAATCCCACTACTAGATGTATTATTACTAAAATTATACTCTATGTATTTGATTTTAAATCTACTCAAACAAAAATCTTTAGACTCTAAGGTTAGCCTCCATAATTATGTTTTTCATCAACTCCTCTAGTCTTACCAACAAGAATAATATCAGTGGCAAAAAGCATACACCAAGATACATCCTCTTGCAAATGTCTAGTAAGAACAACCATGACTCAAGTAAAAAGATATAAAATTATAGCTGATCCTCTATGTAATCCAACTGAAATAAGAAAATTTTTGATAAACCACCTTGTGTTTGAACATGAATAGTAGCTCTTGTATACATATCCTCAATGACTTGAACATAAGTATTATTAATTCTTATCCTTTCTAGAATTGTACAAAGCACTTCTCTTAAAACTTTATCATATATTTTCTCTAAATCAATAAATACCATATGTAGACCCTACTTACTCTACATACTTTTCCATCAAGCCTTTCAGCAAATGAGTAGCTTCCATAGCATACCTATCCAGCATAAATCCAAATTCATTTTGAGAAACATTAGTATCACAACACAGGCTATCAAAAATATAAAAAAACCTTTTTATTCGAGGCTTGTCATCATGATTCTGGTCCGAGGAACAATATCCAAAAAGTAATTAAAATAAACCTAAGCTATGTAATGGAAAGCTTTTTTGATGTAAACTCTTTCAAAATTTTCTCCAAACAATCTTTCTGGGTACTTAATTGCTCAAGAAGGCCAGATGTTAAGCTACAATCTTGTTTTGACCTCACTTATCGAATGGTTTTTTAAATAATTAAGGAGATCATCATTACCAAACAAAGAGTTCAAAGTCTATCTCTTTGTTCTGAATAGTTTTGGAAATTCCTAAAGAATCACTACTAAAAAACAACCTGATGTGATGCATGGATAGAGTTACACAAGAGTTAAAAAAGAATTAAATTCTAGCTCAACCAATTAAATAATCATGTATCAAAGTTAATTCGATTACAAGAAATTCATGATGTTCAACTTGCTAGGCCTAGAAATTTCAACAAGATAGCCAAACTATTTATTCAATTGCAAAGGAAAACATAAGGCTACGACTAGTAAATAAAAATCCCACAATTAATACGGAGTTGTTCACACCTTGAGACCTTTATCTATCTTTCCTACGGAGACTAGGTTGAGCGGCGGAAGATTGTCCATACTAGCATCGAGGTTGCCACTAAGATGGAGGTGCCAAGGAACGTTGCCGTGGGGAAGGATCTCGGAGGTGGAGGGGGTACGGTAGATCGACCTTTGATAATCCACGTGTAGACGGAGAAGTGTTCGTCGATGGAATCCACTAGCGTAGGCCAGTTTTAAGATGAGTGGAGGGAAAATTATTCAATCCTAATTTGAATTTCAAATAGGATTTGGGGATTAATTGAGCAATTAATGGGATTCCCCATAGGGGGCCGGCGGCATGGCTAGAGAGGGAGGGAATTGGGGAGAAAGGAAGGGGGTTTCCAAATAGGATTTGATGATTAGGAAAATTTGAAAATAAATCCACTTTCATGTAAATTTTATTTTGGATTGATTTTCAAAAACTTTCCAAAAATAGAATTTCCCAATTTGGAAAGTAGTGAAATTTGAAAATCGAATTTCAATGAGGAGTTGGGGAAGGAGAAGGGGAGAAGTGGTGGAGAGGGAGGGTGGCCGGCGGCAAGGTGGTCGGCCGGCGGGCCTAGGGTGGCCGGCGGTTGGGCTCCAAGGATGAAAATTGCTCACGAAAATTCGGCTCCTTTCCACGGTTGACTATTGCATGCGGGAGATGTAGGTAGAGAAGATGAGGGTAGCATGTAACGACCTTGAGAACTCACTAAGAGATCTCTAAAGGAACTCACAAAGAGATCCAAATATTGGCACTCACAAAGAGAACACAAAACACATTTTTCATTCAATAATCCAATAATCTCATACAAGATACAAGGGGCCATATAAATAGGCTCCAAATAAAAGTAGATGCAAAATTCTAAAATGCCCCTTGGGGCTACAAGAGCAACTAATACCCTCAGGGGTAAAATGGGAAAACTAAGAAAATAAATGCATAACATATAAACTGCTAGTACAAATAAAATCAATAATAGAGGCTCTCCATCATGGCCGTCGATCTCCGTGGTCGTCTCTGATAGACGCGCCGAAATCTCCTATCGATGACCTCATCACAACCCCTTATTGGGAAATCCCGAGAACTAAATGGAAATTGATGAGTACTTTATTCGTTTTGCCAACATAAATTATATGGTTAAAAATTACAGAGGGTCCGGTGATGTTTAGAAAATAAGAGGTAAAAAGTACATCATGGAAATGGAAAACTGTTATAAATTTCCATCAACAAATGGAAATTGGCTTTCCTTTTTGGTTTCAGATTGTAATTGGATTTCCTTTTTGGTTTTAAATTTTTTTATTTTGTAGTTGATCATTCTTATGTGCTACCAAACATGCTTCTATGCTTAACAAGAATGTCAAGTTACAGTTAATTCTCATTACTTCTTTTACATGCTTAACTTGCTCATAATTTCTCCAAAGTAATCAGATTCTCTGCTATTAGTTGAACTATTATGTTCCTTTCAGTTTCTGGCACATCTCCATATACACAGCTTCATTCTTCTTCCTGTGTTCGACTCGTCCGAAGAACAATGACCGCCAAGAGCCCGAATATGAATTAACTCGGCAGAACTCATTATCAAGAGATTAGATGAAGAAAATCCAGCTCTTGAACTTCAAGCAGAAAATCCACAGATCTCAAATTGCTTATTATCATCATATATAGCAATGCACTGTTCAATACAAAACTCTTCTGCCACAGATTGAACTGATTTGCCCAAAAGATTTATCAGTTTCCAGATTTTATGAAGCCGACCTCATATAGTCAGGATGAAACCATTCCTGTAAGATTCTTCAGTTCTGCACTTTATGTAGCTATTGAGTGATAAGTCAAGGCTATCTCACTGTAACATGGAAGTCCCAGATAGCTGAGAAGAGCAGCTAGAAGAAGTTTTAGTTGCTAATTTTTTATAGGAAGTCGAACCAATAAGATGTATAGCCTGAATGAAGAGAAAATGGGCTGCCAGAAAATAAAAGTAACTGGATGTTTTATGTCAATAACTTTCTGCATGAACTATTAGGTGCTTCTTTTGAGGCAGCTTTCTTTGTACTAGAATGCTGGAAGCAGTAAGAAAATCAACAGGTGTCTGAATCACAAGCTAGGGTTCCTAGATTGTAACACAGGCTTGTCTTATATAATATAATTGAGCGATATGAGCTTAATTTTCCCAAAAAATATCAAATGGTAAGAAATTTTAATACTTATTAAAAATATGTCATGAATTTTAGTTTCTTACTATTATGTTAATTTACTAAATGAATCTTTTTTATGAATGTGGACCCGTACGATAGAACCCAAAAAAAAATGTTTGCTAAATCATTAAAAATCAATCATGCAAGCTCAGCATGCTATCTGGTAGAAGTGCTACAGGTCAGATCTGTAGCTGATTTGATGGTCAATTTGTGAACTGCTACATTAGGGAATAAGTCATGCATCCAGCATATGTCCAATGACACGGAATAGTATTATTTTGTTTGAATTTAAAATTTTAAAATCATAATTAATCTCTAGTTAATGTAATTAATCAGTAATATGATGGTTAATAGTATAATCGCTACACATCACTGAAAAAAATAATTATATAAGACCGGTATTCATTAAAAAAATAGAAATTATTGTCCCAAATTTGCAAAATAGATGATCATGGAGGAAGCGCCTTCCTCTTCCAGAAAACGAAATCATATTACTTAAATGACCCATTCTTATCTTCAGCAAGTCTTCTGTTGGTAAGGCAGGTCAAGGTGGAGAAGCTCAGCTGCACAAAAAAGCTGGTGAGACTTCTAATCTCCTGCAACAGAGCAGATAATATAGTAACCGGGAAACAACTCCACGGCATTATTGTGAAATCTGGACACATTTTTGACGCATCCATCGCCGCCTCTCTCACCGATATGTACTCAAAATGCGGGTTTGTAAGGGAAGCTCAATCGGTTTTTGACGTGATAAAGCGGAAAGATTGTGTTTTATGGAATGTTATGGTTTGTTGTCATGCTTTTAATGGCTATGAGAAGGATGCATACAAGGTGTTTGAATGTATGCGTCTTCAAGGATTAGCCGGAGATGGGTTCACTTTTAGCGTCTTGTTCAATTCATGTGGTACCTTGGGATGTCTAGTGTTGGGAAAGCAGACCCATGGTCTTGCTGTGAGGATGGGTCTTCTTGATGTGGATGTAGTTGTTTGTACTTCTCTTCTTGATATGTATGCCAAGTGCGGCGCCATTGATGATGCTCGCAAGCTTTTTGATTCAATGTTGGTTAGAAATGTGGTATCCTGGAATGCAATGATTGTTGGTTATGGGCATTGTAGCCAGGGAGAAGATGCAATTAAGGTTCTTGTTGATATGCTTCGTGGATGTTGTAAGCCAGATGAGCTAACACTTTCTAGTGTTCTTAGTTCTTGTGCCAGTTTAGCTGCTGCTATAGAATCTGAACAAGTTCATGGATTTGCAGTAAAGAATGGCCTTCAAACTTTTATTTCTGTAGGAAATGCACTCATAATCTCATATGCGAAAAGCGGAAGCATCAATGATGCCTATAAATGCTTTTGTTCGGTTTCAGAGCGTAATTTGGTTACATGGACTTCAATGATTTGTTCTTTTGCTTTCCATGGTTTTGCTGCAAGAGCAATAGGCTTATTTGAAGGAATGTTGCGAGGAGGTGGAAGACCTGACTCAATAGCTTTTGTTGGGGTGGTTTCAGCTTGCAGCCATGCTGGACTAGTGGAAACTGGATTGGAGTATTTTGAATCTATGGTTAAGGAGTATCAAATCAAATTATGTGAAGAGCATTATACTTGCTTAGTGGATCTGCTTGGGAGAGCAGGTCATGTTTATGAGGCTTATAATGTTATATCTCAAATGCCATGCAAGCCAAATGCAGATGTTCTTGGGGCATTTCTTAGTGGATGTAAGGTCCATGGGAAGGCTGAACTTGCGAAATGGGCGGCGGATAAGCTCTTTAGCATGGAACCGAATGAACCTGTGAATTATAAGTCGATGTCTAACATCTATGCATCTTCTCAGCTTTGGGAGGGTGTATCAAAGATGAGAAGGACAATGGAAGATAACTGCAGTAAGAGGGTACCTGGTTGTTGCTGGGTGGAGATTAATGGCAGAGTTCATACTTTTTTCTCCAGTGATAAGTCTCATCCAGAAGCTCTAAGAATTTACTCGACTTTGGAAATGCTCATCAAACTAATGGCGGATGAATACTTTTAGATGGCATGATATCTAAATCACATTTAGAAGGTAAAGTTTATGTTATTGAGGATTTTTTTGGCGGTAATCTATCAGTTGCTTTGATTTACTGATGTAAGACAAAATATAAAGTTAACTGCTCTCAATATTATGAGAAATTATTCCGTGCAGTCACCGAACGGCGTTCAGAGGCAAATGAGAGTGTGTCCCATCATTTTTTTTTCTGTGTACCGCTCAGTACCGGATGAGGTGGGGCGTTCTGATTCGATTCTGGACCATTTAGTAATCACATAGAATAATTTCTCCAATATTATAGGATATAGTTATTCCGATAATACTAATGCCCTTAGGTCAAAGTCTGCTTTCAGGCTGTAGGAAAGATTTGTTAAAAATAAGGCACAAGGTGAGGAGGATACTTGAGAAGATGACAGAAAAATCATGTTTGAATTATAAATAATTAACAATTATTAATTATAATTATAATTAATATTCATTATAATTAATTATAATTAATTTAATTAAAAAAAATTATAATTAATTACAATAATAATAATTAATTAAAATGATTATAATTAAAAATAATAATTATACTTAATTAAAATTAATTTTAATTAAAATATAGATAAATTACTAATCCCTCGGTTTGGCGGGTTTAGGGGATTTGGCCGAAGAAGCTAGCAAAGGGAGAAAGTTACCCGCACGGCCAGCGAGCTCCTCTGCTTGCTTCCGATCCGAGAGGAAGGGAAGTCGTCCAAGGGAGCAGAGTCGATCGGCTAGGGGGAAGGAGCTGAAGAAGCGACCGGAAGGGAGAAAGTTACCGTCCCAGCAAGCGAGCGCCCGTAGTTACTTCCGAACAAAATGTCGTGACTTCCGACTCAACAGGAAGGGAAGGTCGTCGATGGCAGTGTCGAACAGCAGCGACGGGAGCCGAAGAAACGAACTCCGTTTCCTGCTTCCGATCAAAATTCGTAACTTCCGGTCCTTCAGCGACAGCGAGCTCCCGTTCTGTCTTCCGATCGATCGCAGCGAGCGAGCTCCTTTGCTTCCGATCAAGATGTCTTAACTTTCGATCCTACAGGAGGCGAGAGTCGTCGAATGCGCGAGATACCGAGAGAGAGCGAGAGGAAAAGAGCCCAGCTCTCTCGTTTCTCCAATATTTAATCGCGGCAGAGGGATCGTGTGAGGACGTGGGAGAAGGGACGTCGACGTGCTGAATTCGGCGCTCGACGTGCGGGGCAGGTACGAAATTTTTTTTTTCTTTTTTTTGTTTTGTTTTATACGGCAGGTTAACAGGTTCTTTGGGCTCTAGTGGCGTCTAGAGATTTGGGAGAGCTTGATCTTTCTCTCCAATTGAAGATTCAACTGTATCTTGCCTTTTTTTCATATATAATCTAATAAAAAGTGTTCTTGAGTGTTATTCTTCTTTGTTTACTTGTTACCGATTTCGGTTTTGCTGAAATTGTAAATTCAGCCATAGAATTTCACAAGTTTTGCATCCAATTCCTATCAAATTGCTATCAGAGTTATTTGATCTAAGCACCATGACTGGAAGGAAAGAAGAAGCATTGGAATGGGAGATCGGGCAATTGAAATCAAATTGTGTAGAAAAGATTTCAGATTTCAAAAATCTATTTTTAGCCATCCATGAGAAGATCGATGAGAAGTTCGCCATCATGTAGGAGATGATGAGAAAGATGCTCGAGTTCCAAACCAAAATGGCATTGTCGGAGACAGAGGGAGTTACCAGCGACCAAGGGAGTGGAGAAAACCCTAATCCGATGAGGGGGGAAGATCATGAGGTGGAACTGTTAGGGAAAGAAGAGGATATGCCGCATTTGGAGCCACTTTCAAAGAGAGGAAAGGATGAAGGTGTGAGACTTTTAGTGGAGCTACAGAATTTACAACAACAACAAACAACAACAACATCAAGCCTTTTTCCCACTACGTGGGATCGGTTACATGAATCCTTTTTCTCCATTGTGTCCTATTAAAAGTCAAATTCTCGTTTAAATCTAATAAAGAAAGGTCATTCCTAATATTTTCTAACCAAGTGGGGAGAAAAATATGGGGAGAAGTTAGAAGCACTAGACATGATTCTATCACCCCTACAACAATATCGAGGGGTTTTCAAGCAAATACAAGGGTTGAATCCTTTGCAGGAATGGGAGTATGTTATCATTGAAGGAAAGAGTCTCACCTATCATTATTCGTTACCATCATTTCCAAATCCAGAACGAACAGATTGAGATATTAATCAAGGAGATGCTCGAGGCAGGGATCATTTCACCCAGTGTCAGTTCATTTTTCAGTCCAGTGTTATTAGTCAAGTGCTTCAATATCAGTTTCGTTCGTTCCACGGTCCACCTTGAGGACAAGGTGACACTTTGGGAGGGGAGTATTGATGGACCAGCTGATTTGATTGGGAAGGAATTAAGAAGTTTTCTAATCAAGAGGAAACTATTTAGAAAGGTTCTTAATTAAAGGGAATTAATTAGGAGATGTTTCCTAATTGAAGATAGCATATTTGTGGGCTGATTTGGGGGATGATTTAGATGGGATTAATTAGAAAATATTTTCTAATTGAAGAGGGTAAATTTGGGGGCTGATTTAGGGGAGAAACAATTAAGGAAATAAGAGAGAATTGGGGGAGGATTGTTTGGATATTTGTTGTTTATTGTTTGCTTTAAGTAGTAGATTTCCTAGGATTAGGGGTAGGTCTTGTTTGCTGAAATTGTAATGTTTTTATGCTGCTTTGGGCTCTAGAGGCGTCTAGAGATTTGGGAGAGTCGGATCTTCCTCTCTAATTGAAGATCCAACTATATCTTGTCTTATCTTTCATATATAATCCAATAAAAAATGTTCTGAAGTGTTATTCTTCTTCGTTTACTTATTACCGATTTTTGTTTTGCTGAAATTGTAAATTCAACCAAAGAATTTCACAAGTTCTGCATACACTTCCTATCAAAACCCACATACTTGAGCATACAAATAAACTCACATACGCAAGGTCCTAACCATACAAATGCTACTAAAATATTCAGCTTGACTCACTTCGTTTATAGTTTTAATTGTGATGTAGGGCTCTTTCTTACAAGACATTTTAGGATAATATATATTATTGATATGGTAAAATAATCTTAGAATTTATCAAGGATTTACTTCTTTTTAGAGGATATAATTGTTAAGCCTGAGGGAAATGATAAACTAGTTTAAGATTATATGTCAGGGAGAGATCCTATGAGCAAGCATCCCCTTCTAATCATTGTTTTATTCATTCTCACGAAAAATTCAAGGAGATATTGTGCTTTCTATAAAAAGAAAGGGCACATAAACAGAAATAGCATTGAAGAAAAGGGTGCAAGGAGTATATGACAATCATAAGAAGTAATTGGTTGATATAAGGTTAGTCACAGATTTGTTTGATTTTAATGATGTTGTTTCAGATATTGCTGGTGATAGGTGCAAAAAGAGATGGAATATATATTCAATTTGTTCTAGGCACATTGTTCTAGGCACATGTATTTTGATTTAGATATGTTTCTCTCTTGCATGAGTTAAGTTTTTATGGCTATATATGAAAAATGGAGCTATGTGTAAGATTGGAGGTTGTGGCAAGTTGAGGATAGTGGTGTGATTGTTTTGTTTGTTGGATTCAAGCATATATCATTTCTAAGAAAGAATCTAATATATTTAAGTACTCTCAATATTATGAGAAATTATTTTGTGCAATCATCTAACGTCCAGAGGTAAATGAGAGCGTGCCCCGTCATTTTTTTTTTTATGTGTACCGCTCGTTATTAGATGAGGTGGGGCGTTCTGATTCGCCTCTAGACTGCTCTGGACCGCTCGGTGACCGCACACCCTCTAATGATCAAAGTGTACTAGAGTGGTGTTGCCCTTGCACCAAAAAAATTATTTTGTGTGGACGCCCGAAGACTTATCAAAATGCGTCATGTCACTCTTTTATTGTACCGTGGCTTGGTACTGCTCAGTACTGTGGCTCTGTACGGTTGATGATGCTGCACCTGATTCATCTCCGGATGTCAAATTGCGTCTGGCGTCCACACAAAATAATCTCTCCATGCACCGACATGATCGATCGGCTTAAACTCGAGTAAATTATAGTGACATTTTTACATTGGAGGCACAATATATCCATTGAATATCCTGGTACAAATTGTATCATACTAAGTGTCAAAATTATTAGATTTGCTTTAAAATTAGTATAATATATATATAAAGAATTCAGATTGCACTAATACTTTTCATATTCTATTTGGGTATGAAAAATCAATGAATAAATCTACATGCAAATTACTAAAGGAGTTAGATTTTTGTAATTTGAAGAGAATAGTTTTCATTGATAGTGAAATTGTTAATAATGCCAGCTTTCTATGGAATTTCTGCTCCTTTTCTTTGTCATATTGTACCAACTCCTGTTGAGAACTGAGTTTCATACTTTGATTATAGCATATTATTGCATTTTTTTTTCCTTCTGTCTGCTTTTGATGATTTAGCTGGATTTTATTGTTTGTTTGTTAGAAGCTTGTCAATGATTGAGCCAATTACAATTAAATATTTGAAATTTGAATAATTTCATAAGGTACTAATGGTTCAAAATTTTCCATTCTTGGTGCAACCATATGGGTCATGAAGCTTAAAAATATTAATTTTAAATAATATTTACAATAGGAATATGCCATATTAGCATTTTTTGGGTTTTCTTAATAAAAAAAAACTTAATTTTGATATTTTATTTATTTATTTTTCCTTGTAGAATCACCCTATCAGCTTCTTATGTGTCATTTATATGTTATTTTCATTGTATATTTAACTTATTGTTATAAATAGAATTTAATTATTTATAATTATTTCAATTAGAAGAAAATTGTTGAAGAGTTGATGCACAAATAGATTTTGCCATGTATAAGTTATTTAAGAATATAATAAATTTTGAGTAAAATGGAAAATGAATAAATCTATACTACTATTAAAGTGCCGCATGTGTTTCTTCCCAAACATAATCCTGGCCGTTAAAATGTTTAGTCTTTACATCCATCGTTCATTCTCTAAACGATTTCTCTCATCTGCTTGAGAATCAAAATCCAGCTTCTCTTTCTTTCAATCAACGCATCCCTCCTCATTTCTCTTCGCTTCCTGCACTCCTCATTCGTTCCTATCAACGCATCCCTGCGTGAAATCGCCATCAAATATCCCGCTGTTTCTTTCCGAATAAATCCTAGCCGTTTATTATTTTGACTATTCGTCTATTCGTATCATCACATCACTTCAAAAAGAAATTTACAGTTCGCCTTTCTTATCTAAAGAAAACCTCTCCCGCTACTCTCACTCTTCCGCGCTCTTCTTCCTCTCGCTCGCGGCAACGCAGAATAAAGTCCCTCCGCCTCACCCTCTCTCTCTCACGAGCAGAAGCCCGCCGACGTCCTTCCCGACCTCGCGTGCAAACCCTTTGTAAATTCCATCCGCAAAAATGGCGTAAATCCAATCCTTTATTTCGCAACCCTTCGTCTTCCCAATATCAACGCATCGCTTCAGTTGCAAAACGAAATTTTCTTTCGCTTTCTTAGCTAATATCTAATGAAATCTCTCCCGCTACTTTCACTCTCCGGCACTCTTCCCTCTCGTTCGCAAGCCCTAGACGGAACGAACCTGCGCTCTTCTTCCTCTCCTTCGCAGAAACCAGATTGAATGAAGCCCTCCACGACCCGTCGTCGACCTACTGCCCTAGGCGCACGGTCATTGCCACCGAACCTCTCTTACGCACAGGTAATTTCTACCACATTTCTTTTTCTTGCATCTTCCTCTTCTTCCTTTTTTTCTTTTTCTTTCTCCTTTCCTTCCTCATCTTCCTCTCCATTTCTTCTACTTTATTTTATTCTTCATCCTTTTCCCCTGCTTCTTCCCTGTTTTTCACTTTCTTCCCTTGTTCTTTTCTATATCATTTTTTGGTTATTATGAATAGATAGAAGCAATCTGCTTATTTTCTTTCTTCAAATGGATTATGATTTATGAATTCTATAAATTCTATGAATTTTGCTTCTTTGCTTCACCACCAAGTTCTTTGTTAATTTCTTTGAACTTTCATCTCATTTGCATATGTTAATGGCATCCTTTCCGTCTCCTTTTCCTTTACCTCTGCTTTGTGCTGAGCACCTGCAATGATTGTGTGTGGACTGCAGACTTGTTTTCTTTTTAGAGAAGGATGATTTTGATGTTATCGAGTTTCTATTTGTAAGATCTCTTTTTTTTATTTCCCTTTCTTGTTTACGGTGGGACTGCTTGGAATATTTTTTACAGATCTAAACCATTCTAAGGATGCTTCTGTGAAGAGGTAAGTTAATGGGGTAGTATCGCACTAATTAGATATCCCTCGCAACTGTTACGTCTTTTCATTGGCTTCCTACTTTACTTGCCTTATAGCTACAGATTTCAAACTAAATTGTGCATAAATGGATCTATTCAGTTCTGAAAAAAATAAAATAAAAAAGAATTTATTAATATATATTTTTGAAATTGGTAATATATTATTGAGAGTTTAATAAAGCTTTCAGCAATTAGTAGTTCACAAAAATCTTTGGTTGTGGAGAAAAATGTAAGAGCTAATGACTTATTGTTTGAATTACTAAAATCTAATTATATATATTTGTTTTATAAACAGTATCACAAAATTTTGTGTTTGATATTATTTAGGAAATTGTGTATCATTCTATGATTTCTTATAAATCGCATTTTTTTTTTTGGTATCATTTTATGATTTAGGAGATTTGCTTCAATTTTTTGATAGAATTTTGTTAGAGAATTAACCAAACGAAATAGAAGTTGAGGCGAAAGTGTATTTTGGAATCATTTTATGTCGTTAACTTAGTTGTTAATAATGTTAAATTTGGCTCAATCATGCCAATGAATGTATGCAGAATAATCCATTCTTGTTAAAGTTTTTAGCAACTAAGGAAATGCACTATTTCATGCATCTCAATAAATGTACAATCCTTTTCTAGGGTGTTGTGCCTGCGCTAAGATTGTATTAAGCTTTTTTAAGATTCACGCAGGACCATGTCTTTGTTTAAAGATTATTTCTGCATAATCTGTAGGCTTCATCTCTCTATCAAAGATCAACTTGTTAGAGCTTTGATATGTAGGGTTGAAGGTGAATCAGTGTATTACTTTATTAGAACAATTAATAGTTAAATATTTCATTATAGAAGGCTCATTTATATTAGGTTATTATGTTAATTGGACATGATTGAGATAAAATTTTCTAAAGATATATATACATATAATGGGATTTAATGATAAAAATGGGGAGTAAAATATCCAATTTTGATAGACAATTGAGGAAAGTTAGGATAGTACTCTTTTGAGATGAGAGAGATTTAATTATTGAAAGTTGGAAGCTAGCTGATTGATTGAGGAAGGTCATGATAATCTTTTTTATGAAGATAGGAGAAGTGAGGGCTATTGACATGAGAAAAAGATTTTTGAAGATAGGAGAAGTGAGAAATAAATGCAAAATGGCCCTTTGAGTGTGACTAATAATTTTTTTTTAATAATCCAGCCGCACATCCGATAAATAAAGATACAGGTCATAAGTTCTTGCTCTTTGTTATCACAGTCAAGACTCATCGCAATAAGTTCCAAATAAACCTATGAAAATTATTTAGAGACTATAATGCAACTATTGATAATCCTAAAATATTGTTTTATGTTTTCTTTAACAGCAAGTTTGTTATTAGTGTTGATCACAAACCTTAAGCATTAATGTTATTTCAACTAAATTTGATTACAAAGGAAAATAAAATTTTGTTAATGTATCTTGATACAATATTTTAATCAAGATATGCTAGCATTTTTTTCAAATAACATTGTATTTTCTAACAAGTAGGTTATTGCTATCTTCTTATTGTCAATCACATGTAAAAATAAAGCATTCATCATGCAATACTGAACAAATCTAACATTCATAATATAGTATTATTAGAATCATAAGCGGGCAACATTATTTGAAGCATCACAACAACATTGTTAGAAGAAACCTTCAAACACTAAATTATTAATGCACATACAAAAGCTCTTCATTTTCTTTGTTTTACAGAACTCTATATCTACAATACTTGTGTTGCCGTAGATTTTTTTTTTTCGGCAGATCTAGCTGAAGCAGGCTTTGTGGGAGTTAATATGTTTATGCGTTTTTTTAAAATCCTGCTTCTGCATGCACTTTTACCAGCAACCATCCTCATAAACTTTTGCATTAGAGAGCTAAGGTTATGTAACCACAACAATTTTGTGCTAGAGTAAGATTGTGAGAGGTGCAACTTTGGCATTAATAGATTAAATGATATCAGGAATTTTTGGATCAACAAATATTATACATTGTAAGCATTCAGCAACTAAAACAAAATTTCAATCATAGGAATATAAAAAGAATAGATTTTAGTATCTAAAATAATGTGAAGTTTTGAAGCGTTGCTAAGTATTAAGTCTATAGTTATTGTAAAAAATGCATACTGGTTATGTTGTGTGAATTATTTTTTTATGAGTTGTATTTGGGTCTAATACTATCTGTATTTGACTATGTATTATTACGCTAGAGTTGTAGATGTGTGATGGCCTACACAAATATTTGTGCGATATGATTCATATTCATTGTAAAGTATGTTTCTACTAATTACTTGTAGCTATCATATGGTATCTCAAAAGTTGAATTTTTTTGTTTGGGGTTTTGGATTGATTGCAAATTGCTTCCCTAGGATGTTGGTTTTTCATAGGGCCATCTAAGGTATGATAGAAGACATCTTCCATGATGTTTTGGAACTCAACTATGTGCGCTTTGGATTAGATATGCTCACATATCATGCCTTGCATTGAGTACATTGCTCGGTGGTTTCTCATGAACCATATCTTATCTTATTATATGCTTCAGTTCTCGAAAAATTTGCTTTCTCTTAAAGTAGTTTGGGTTATTGAATAAATAATTCTCATTTGGATTTGAAGATATTTTGCCTTCCAAAGTCTCCTAAGATGCAGTGTCTTTTTTCAATTACAACTTAAGATTGTTAGTTTTTTCTTTACCTAATTTTCTCCTTAATTTTGTTCTTGGTTGCAGATTGTAATTGTAGGTAACTTTATCTGATACATATATGTTGCATTGCAACATCCTTGTTAAAGTGTAACTTTTTTTTCTATATATATTTTCAATTATTTTGTTAATTTATTTATTGTTTGCAAAATGTATGTGTAGTTAACTAATTATGTCACATCTAAGTTGCAGTTGTTTACATGACATTTTAAAAATACATGTTTTTTTATTTGATTTCATATTCTTAGGTGAATATCTTCTTGGGGATAAATTTATGTTTTTCATGCAATACTGAACAAATATAGCATTCATAATGTAATATTATTAGAATCATAAGCAGCCAACATTATTTGAAGCATAACAATAGCATTATTAGAAGCAACCTTCAAACACTAAATTAGTAATGCACATAAGAAAACTCTTCATTAGTCCTACATGTATTTACATACTCTTATTAGATTTAAGTCATTATCCCATTGTTTATGTACTCTTGACTTGCAAATAATTTATTATTTCTTTTATTTTTTCTATTTCCCATCTTCCGCTCATTTATGCTACTTCTTAAGTTTTGCTTTTCTCATGAATAAGAGTTTTTCAAAGGTTCGCTGAAGAAGCTTCTTCGCCTAATCTACGATGTTCTTATTGTTAGATTGGATTCGTGTGCTTCGCTTGAGGAAGAGTTTTGAAAGAGTTGGTAAGGAAATTCTTCCTTGCTTCTACACTTTGTTCCGATCGGATCAGAAGTCACAATGGAAGCTCACAGTGATCATAGTGATCTTTTTCTATAACTTGAATGCATGTACTTTGTACATGCATTACTCTTTCTAAAAAATCTATTATTTATTTATTAAATATTTTGATCTTTTTGCTCTTTCCCTTTTTGTCAAACTTGAATGCATAATGCAATTATATTAATATTTTTATTTTTTTAATGATTACTGCCAATTGATAGGACCAATGCTCAATAACCAATGGTCTTAATTGTGGGAATGGTAGGTTTTTTTTTTTTTCTTTATGAAGGTCTTACTCTTTATGGTCTAATTATTGGAATCATTCTCTCTTCTCAAGCAGGTCAATCTTGCACAGAGTAAGAAAGGAAGTTTTTAACTTTGCTTTTTCATTATTCGTGGTTGCTTTTTAGGTTAATTTGAGAGTATGCTATGCCAAAGGATTTATTTTAATTTTGGATTCTATTATGATTGTAGTTACATATTAATTGTCATCATCGTTCCTTTCTAATGAACTGACATAATTAGTATTTATTTTTGGCACTTTTATTTTAGGAGTGTTTCCAAATTAATTGGCATGCATGTTCTCTGTTACCAGTTTAAATATGAATTTTATATGTGATGTATTAGTTCCAAATTTATTTGGTGAGAATTTATTTGGTGAGAATTTATTTGGTGAGAATTTATTAAATCATGTTTTGAACATGGCAAACAAAGATATAGACGCCAAGAAGAAAAGGATGAATCAAATTTCCATATTTTCAAGTGAGTATTATAAGAGCTTGATTGTGCTAATGATTATCTTTTGCTTATTCTCTTTATATGAGATGATGATTAGTTCATATTTTATTCATAAAATATTATTTTTATTTCTTAATCTTCATATATGTTAAGCAGAGTGTCGTTTTAGGTGCATTGGATATTTGTGGCTACAAGTTTAATAATTTTTCTCTGTAGCATTTGTCAAGCAAAGGTGTGTTCTTTGTTTTTAAGCAAAGAAGGCGTGTTCTATGTTTTTCTTGGCAATGATCAAACTGATCAAGATGCTTTCAAGTTTTTTTTTTTTTTTATATATATATAACTATAAGGAATTGCTTAATCTTATATTATTTAGGGTTCGTTTGGGACGGCTTTTTTATTGCTTTCTAAAACGGAGTTTTAGTAAAAAAAAAATTATTTTTGTACTAAAACTCCGTTTTAGAAAGCAATAAAAAAGCCGTCCCAAACGAAGCCTTAATTTGACGCATTCATGCTTTTCATTTGAATGAGGAACTTCAAAACTGTTAATGATAGTTCATGTGTACAAAATAATTTGTAGCCGGAAACATTAATGTGTGATGATTATTGCTAATAATTTCATTTTTTTTTTAATTTTAAAAGAAATCACTTGGAGCTTTTGCATGGAAGGCCAATGCTCTCGAACCTCAACCTTCGAGCACCAATGTAAATGCAAATTGGGACACAACATTCTTCTCGATGTCTCGAGCTTCCCTTGTTATCGGCAGTGTAAGCAGCCGCTTAAACAATTCTTAAACACTTAAGTTGTGTTTGTATGGTGGGAATTTGAGTGAAATAAAATGAATTTAATTTAATTTCCTTTTGTTTTCATTGAATCATGCACTGTAAATTATTTAAATATTTTTCTTCCAGTTTATTTATTTTTTATTGATATCGGATGAAGATCCTAATCCTTAATATCTGATCCAGTTGAATCCTGATTTGAGTTGTTAATTTTCAAAATTCCTGAATATTTCGATAAAAAATCTGCAAGATATCTGCTCTTGGGAATCATTTTGCATGCATTTGAGATTTTTGGTCTCTTTTGTCTCTCACTTAACTCTCACTGATTAGAACTTTTGTAAATGCAGAATATGAAAAAAAAAAAAAACAAATATTGAGATGCAAATTTTTTCACACATATTTTAGATCCAATGTTTTGATGCCTGCTTCTTTCTGAGTCTAACTTTAGCATTTAGGATTTTTGTTTGGTCAGTCAATTTTTTATGAAATATAAAGCACCAACGTTAGACTCAGAAAGTCCGAGCTGGTTCATGAGATGTTTTTAACTTTATTTATATATATATTTGCTCGTTTTATAAGAATTAGAAAATGAAGTAGCAATAATAATGCTAAGCTTTAATTGCAAATGCTTATTGCAAATCTTATGCTTGGATTTAACATTGTTTAAATTATTTAAGAGTGAGAAAGTATTCAACAATTCAATATGATAACCTCCGTAATTTGAAAGTATATATCAGTATAAGATTTAATAAATAAAATAGTATTTAAATTTTGTGACTCCAACAATTAATAATTTTTCTTTGGTAGTCAAAACATTTTATCACTATAATTAATAATGATATTAATTAAATTACAAAACTAAATTGAGGGTGTGTTTTTGTTTTACTCTATTATAAATGTGCTGCAAAATGATCTATATTTTTCTCTAAACGTACTTATATCATTTAAGGTCTTGGAAATGACAATACTAACTTGCAAGTAAATGATCATACCTAATTTCAGATGAAAAAATAGTGACAAAAATCGACATAAATATTCCAATGGTTGAATCAGCATAACACATTCATTGAAATTTTGACAACATTACCAGTAGACTGATCCTCTGATAATGATCTAATTTACACATATATTTCACATTTATCAACAATTGTTTCTACAAATAATATCTACTTTCAATTTGTCTTAATTGAAGTATAAATAATATTTATACAAAATTTATATTTCATATTGAAATAGAAATTTATATCATACCATAAATTTTTTTATTTTGTCATATATTTTTTTATTTTTAAATTTTTATTCACGTGCACCATGTGCACGTGCATTTATACTAGTATAAGAAAAGTCATAAATACAACAACAACAACATCAGCTATATGAATTCTTTTTTCTCCATTGTGTCATATTAAGAGTTAACTTCTCATTTAAATCTATTAAATAAATATCATTTTTAATATTTTCTAACAGTCTTTTTAGGTCTACCTCGATCTAATTTAACATCAGTCAAATCTAATATAGCTATTATCCTAATTGGTTCATCGAAAGGCCGCCATTTTATGTGATCAAACCATCTAAGATGATTCTCTCTAAACTTATTTATCATTGGAGCTACTCCAACATTTTCAACTGTATATGCTCATTTCGTATCTTGTCTGTAAGAGTAAAGCCACTCATCTACGCGAGCATCCTCATATCTACAACACGTATAAGAAACATCATAAATATAAGACAAAAAGTAATTCACTTATCTCTATGATTATGTGGAGATTAAGGCTTTGTTTGGGACGACTTTCTTATTGCTTCTTAAAACAATTTTTAAGAAGTAATAAGAAAGCTGTTCCAAACGAAACCTAAATATTATATAAAATTTGAAAAACAAAAAACTAAACAATAGGACGGAATGCAATCACTTATTGGACGGGGCTTTCACCATCGCCAACATAACATCCATCTCCTTGTTCTACTCTAACTTCATAAATTCGTTCGTCCGCTTTCTCTAACTACAACACTATCTTCGACTACACTCTCGATGGCTTTCTCACTAACAATGACTCCTACACATGTAGTCACTATCAAAGGGCGATATGATTTACAACGAAAGAAAAGTTTAAGTGTTAAATATATAAATGTGATAAATTTACATAAATATCAAAAAAAATTTAGGTGCAATATTTGATCTTTTATATTTATTTATATACTAATTTTGAGTGCTTAAAAGTGGTTATGACTATTGATATGCAGTGAAAAAAATAAAAATAAGTGAAGGGCAGAAAAGCAATAAAATTTTAATTTAATGAAAACAATAGTAATTTTGACTTTTCAGAACAAGCTGTGGCATTTTGTAATAATTGATTTTTTTTTCATGAAATGGCAATTTTTTTTGAAATAATTGAGGCTATCTTGTCATACTTGTTTGTCCTAAATTTGGGGTTATGAACAGGCAAAAACTGTGCAAAAGTTGTATAAATAATAATAATAATAATAATAATAATAATAATAAACAATAAAAAATAGCAACTCAAGTTTTATTTTTCAGCAGAGAAATTTTGAAATTATGAGTAAAATAAAATATTAAGATTTAATCAGTAGAGAAATTTATAATAATTTCAATGTAAATTCAATAATATTAAAATTTAATTAGAATATATTAGCAAAAAAAATCCACTAATATTTCATTAGTATTGACACACTAAAAAAATATGGGTGCTATTTACTGATTAATTAGTTCATAAAAATTATCAAAATTAAAGAAATAAATCTCATTTTCATCAAAATTATGCTTTGATATTTTTCTAAACAATGCAAAAAAGAATTATTGAAGCTTATTTTTATAAAAATTTAGATTACATTCATTTCAATCTAAATTTAAGTGCATAAAATTACTTTGAGCTAATTTATATGACAATTAAAAAAATTAAGATTTTGATTCAAATTAAAGCAGCACATTTTTCACATGTGAAACAATATAAGAAAAAGAAGTCTCCTATACTTTTGTTTTTAATGGTTTAAAAATGGTTATATTGATTAATCTAACCAAAAGATGTATATTATTTATTTATTCATATTAAAGACTATATTTGATGCTCAAGCCTTTAATGATTTTTATGACTCCTATAAGGAAGAAATTATTTAATTTATTTTTTAAAAAATAGATCTAGAAGTTAATTTTAGATAGAATTATTTCAAATAATAGATTAGCTTTGTAATCACCGACAACTTTTTGAAGTCGAAGCCTCTGAAATAAATTCAAACATGTTTGAGTACGAACTTAATTTGAACCAATTTCAAATGTGAGATATATTCATGTTTTAGAGATCAAAATTTCAATGAGAGTTCGATGGTGGAAAGACTTGGACTGAAGATCGGCCAGTGCGGGCGAGGCACATGTAAATGAGAGGAGGTTAGTAATAGGAACTTGTTAGGGGAGAGTCTCAATGTGATCGAGAATGTGTAAAGGAATAGAGCATGTATTGAACACTACATAAAATTCATTGAATACCGGCGGTTTAACTGTCGAAAATTCTGTTAGTTAAGGGATATTATTAGAGAAATGCATTGATAATGATCAATAGTTTTTGAAGCAGAAAAAGGGTTTGTGACGGTAGCTCATTGGAGGAAGCCCGGGACGGGACTAACAACATATATATGAAAGGGGAAATGGGAGTTTGCTAAAGAAGTCATCAATGGGACTATAACATGTGAAAGAGAATGATGGGTCCATAAAGGGAAAAATAATTAGGTACAGAGTGCGCACCATCTACACAAGCACTGGGTACCTAGCGGTACCAAGCGATGTCGAGTACGGGTACCGCTACGTACCCAATGCTTGTGCGGACGATTCTCCATGTCCGCACTCCGCACCTAATATAATCTCTCCCATAAAGGAGAACAACTCGAGCAATATGGGTTCAAACAAAACTTGGTTCTAATTAAGTTTGATTTTTAATTTGAATTGTATAAAAGCCTAGGTTTGAATAAGGTTCAATCATGAGTTAAAATCAGATTGGAATTAAAAAAAAATTAAATCAATTTCAAACACTTTTTTACTCCAAAAAATAGTTCAAAAACATAAAAGATTATCCCTCTTTGTAAGTAATTTTATTTGAGATAATTTTTTAAGTAAATTTCGCAATTAAAAAAAAAAGTGAAAACCTTTTTTTGAAATTACATGCATTACAAGTTAAATATTTCTCAACAAATTTTCAGATTGCCTAATAAGGATCTCATATAATTTTTATATTTTTGGTATCACTGAAGAGAACTTTTATTACGTCCACTGACCATTATTACTCGGTTTTTGCTGGGAATTTGGTCAATATTGTTAGGTATTGGTTGGTAATAACGAGGAATACCGCTCTGTGAAGATTAATATCGAGTAAAACCGAGCAATACCGAGTAATCCCAAAAAATACCAGATTTCTAGAAAAAACTCGGTATTTTGTCTTCACATAATGATATTTCTAATTATTGTTGGTATTGCTCGATATTTGCTCAATATTTCTCATTTTATGCCTGCGACTTAATATCGGCCGAACGTAGCTCTACGTATGTCCACCTGAGCAAATAAAAGTTCCACTGAAGAATAGTGTTGCTAACTAAATATAATTGCCACTAAATTTAAATATGATTTTTTTTTTTTTTTTTTTTTTCGGCTTTTTTTTATTTTTTTTAATCATAATCATAAACACAATATTTATAGGGTTGATACAAATGTCATTAGCCTTTATATTTAACTTGCTAATAATGCTTTTTTTTTAATTTACTTTCTACTATTTAATGCTGACAAATATATATATATAATAAATAAATATTTTTTTATTAGCTGTCACATATATTTTCTTCTGATATATATATACATAATTTAATTCAATTATCTCTTTGGAGACTAATTAGACTTTTTTTATATTCATAAGAATCTAGTTGAAATAATTTTCTAGCTGAATTGATTTTTAGATATCAAATCAATTGTATTTTGATTATTTTGTTATTACTATTTTTCATTTTTTCAAATATTTTTACGACACAACTTTTTTTTAATTAGAATACTCATAGATTTTAATTGATTTTTAGATATCAAATAAATTGTATTTTGATTATTATGTTATTACTATTTTTCACTTTTTCAAATATTTTTACGACAGAACTTTTTTTTAAATTAGAATACTCATAGATTTGATTTCATTTGAATAATTTTTTTTTCAAATTTTATAATAAAACCCAAAAAACTTAAGCTTTAATTTGGGACATTCATTATTACTTGCAGCAATAAAAAAATGATGTCCAAAGGGAGAACTTTTATTAGGTCCGATGTAAGGACGTAGAGGAACATCCGGTCGGAGATAAAATCCCGCTAAAAAACTCAATATTTGCTCGGTATTGCTACATATTATTTGATAATAACAAGGAATACCATTCTATGAAGACCAATACTGAGTTCTACCGAGCTATACCGAGCAATACCGAATTTTTCTAGAAAAAACTCAGATATACCTTTTGTATAACTCGATATTTCTCGTTATAGCTCAATATTTAGTCTTCACGTGATAGTATTCCTCATTATTATTTAATATTGCTCGGTATTTCTCATTTTTTGACGCGATTTGACCTCCGACCGGACGTCCGAGGACGTAATAATTGTTCCCCAAGGGAAGCCTTAGACTTCAATTGAGAAAGCTTTCTTAAGTAAACTTTTTATTTTATTTTATTTTTTTACTAAAATGCTGATGTAGAAATGAATAGAAAAGTTCTCCCTAATATAACATAAATTGTTTTCCCCAAAATAACTCCAAATCAAATTTTATGATGGAAAATTAAGAAAAAAATTTAAAAATCAGAGAAAAGGAAAATTGGGCAAAACACTGGAAGAAATAAATAAATAAATAAAAACTTCAAAGAGCACAAATCAAAATGCTCATGCTCTCTCCTACCTAAATGTTATTAATAAATATATTACAATAAGTCCATAATCCTACTGCACAAAGTACCACCTGGTTAGTAAATTAAGCAGCCACAATAAAGCTCTTACACTTCAATTTCCTTTCTCTCTGATTTCATCACAAGGAGAAGGAATTAAGCGTAGGGAGATTTCAGTCTCTTCGCTGTGTGGATGAAGCCCACAATCACCTGCATCTCGTCCACTTGCTTTTGGGAATTAGAGAAAAAATGGAGTAAGGGGAGAGGGGACAAATGATGAGAGATTATTACGTTGAGACACCGGACACAACTTATCATCCAGAGGCCAATAATATGCAGCTACGTCATCCAGTACTGAGAGCTCTGAGCTCGGCTCGGTACTGGGCAGTACCGAGCCGCAGTACCGAATATGAGTGACATGGCGCATTTTCATTGAGCTCTGGACGGCGATCGGTGTCTGCACTTAATAATTTCACGAAAATGATAAATTATTTAGTACAAATGTAAAATGATTAGTAGTCTTACCTGTGAGAGGAAATGATGCTGTACCCCACTAATAAGCTGCTGCTTGGATGGATTTGGATTGATACTCACCTAAAAATAGTACATAATAATTAAAACTTAAATCTACCAGCATAGCAAAGATTCAGAGATTTATAAATAAAAAGACTTAAGTAGATTGTTAAAAAGACAGGTTGGTAGGCATTAGGCAAAGTTTTGCTCACAAGATTGAAGTGTTTCCAGTATCTCCATAACGTCGCTGTCCCCAGCTTTGCCAGATTTACCCTCTGCAAGATAATTTTGGAGCAACCAAGTAACAACAAGGTTGAAGAAAAGAGGGCCACACAGCAGCACCGATATTATTACATTGCTACCAGGAATTCAAGGTTCCACTTTTATGATTTGATGTTTTATTACTTGAAAAAGAAAAACAGGAAAGTTTTAGCTAGAAAATATCAGGACTGCAAATAGTTCTTTCTGATAAGCTGAAAATTAAGTGTGTTTTAAAACAATAATGATTCATTAGAGGCCAATAATAGAGAAAGATTATGAAAATGAATGGGGAAATGGGGCAATTGGAGTTTTATTTTGTAATGGAAGAGATGGTGATCTATCTTAGGCTTGGTTTGGGATGACTTTCAAAAAAATTGATTTAAAAAGCAGTAAGAAAGTCATCGCAAACAAAGCCATAGGCTGGGACAGCTTTTTTCCTGATTTTTGAAGCAGTTTTTTAGTATAAAAATTAATTTTTTTTACTAAAAAACTACTTCAAGAAGCAGTAAAAAAAATTATCTCAAATGAAGCCTTAATCTCCAAGAAATGTAAACTAATAGAAAGACAAATGAGAGAGGATTTCACATTGATTTACCAAGTGAGGCTTGTGGCTATTGGCTTGCAAATCTCTAAAACTGCTACGGTTGGTTGATTTGGCTGAGGAGGTCCAAGGCCTTGTGTGTCTTACCCTGGGCTTTGTTGGCTTGTGAAACTCAATGCTAGCTGTAAAAGAATGGTTTTGGCAATTAATTATAACTGTGAGATTGAGAAGATCAGCATTTTCATTTCTTGCGCATAGAGAAAAATAGACTAAAAGATTACATAATTATACAATATAACTTACGATAATCACCATCTTTATCTCCCATGTCAGAGCTGCTGCAGAAAGAGTTATCACAATCCATTTCATCATCATCCTCTTCATTGCCCGTTGGAGCTTCCAGTACACTCAGCGCATTCCTTTGCAGCTTCACTTCCACACCATTTTTAAGGACCTGTAAGAACGCCAATATTGATTTTCAACTCCTAGAAATAATCAAAGAATAACTAAAAAATATATTTTTAAAAAATTATTCTACAATTCTATACGATCTAGAGCACTCCAAGGAAATAAGAACTGCACAAAAGGGTAAAATTCACTTAAGGGCTGATACCAAAGGAAAAAATATCAAGGATTTGGGAAGAGGATCATTAAAAATAGGATCAAAGAGAAAATATAATATATTGAAAGAATAAGATAACACAGTACCAGCCAGTGCCAACCACCGAGGCCTACGGCCTTCTTGACAACACCTTGCAAGCCAACCAAAACAGACTTAGTTCTATTGTTTCCAGTTACAATTACTTTCGTGTGTCTTGGAAGCACAGAGAGCTCTTCATCTCCACTTTCTTCTCGAGAAGGAGATAGAACACGAGATGAACACAGTTCTGCCTCAATCATCATCTACAAACAAACAGAAAAAGCTTGGAATTATCAGAACAGATCAAAAGAAATCAGGCAAATATCTCGCTCATTTACCAATCATTCCAATAAAAATACTTTGATGATTGGTACAGCAAGACAGAAACTTTCTGATTAAAATATAAAAACTTTTGTAATCATAATCTCAAGCTCAAATCTTTATCTTAAATCTTAAGTTACAAGACAGGAACTTACTGATTAAGATCTAATGGAGTTAGGCAAAATAAGAAGTACAATAGAGAATCTGGCCAAAGCCGATTATTTCGCAAAACACAAATAATAGAAGGAGAAGATGAGAGTTTTAATCACATCAGGGCCTACCACAAATAATTATCTGTTTTATAGTCTCTGAGTGCAAACACACCAAACATCAGGACAGCGATTTGCTTTCATCATGGAAGAGATTAACTAAATAATAAGGAAAACCTTCTTTTACAGCAAAAAAAAGGCAAACTTGTCACATTAATTAGCGGGATGAAAGCTAACAAGTCAATAATAAATATAAATTATTAAAAAGGCGCAATGCTATCAATAGAATTTGAATCAAGAACGGCAAATAAATAAAGAAAGAAAGAAAATTTTGGAATCATCAGATACCCATCATTGTTTTGATTTTTTTAGCTTGCCAGCTTAATCTGTTCAGATGAAATCAATTCATGAATTACTTAATAAAATTGTTCTAAACCCGCCCAAAAACTGTAAAAAGATAAACAAATCGAAAGCGGCATGGCAAAGAAAATGTAGCTAAAACGAATAAAGATCTCAATCTTGCTTACTTTGAAGGCAGCATATTCTTGAAAACTAAGCATCTTAAAAACAAGCTGAAAATCAAATGCACAAATCTTTAAAAGTATTAATTTTTTAAAAAAATAAGGTAAAGATGTCAGGGCTTTTGGTAACGAACAACATTAACATTGAAATGCAAATTCCAATTTCCAGATCATAATCCTATCCCAGCAAGAAAATCGTAAATCGCGATCAAATTCAAGATCCGGAAAATTGGATAAAAAATAAAAAATAAGTTAATTGCTGAATTTCTAAAAAAGCATTTTGATGAGGTAAATTTACCTAATAAGGGCAATACATTACCTTTCAAATTTTTAGATCCAAGAACTGATAAGATCGATAAAAACAACCCAAAGAAGAATGTAGCCACAATCTAAGCAAATGAAATTGGAAAGTCGTGATTTTTCGCCATGAAAGATCGCGAGAGAAACTTCAAACTTGGATCAGTCTCTACCAATACTGGAAGGAGGTCAAAGAAGAGAATTTCTTCAGTTTTTGAAGGCTGCCAGTGAAGCAGAGCTCGCATCAACTTCGAAGAAAAAGCTGAGAAGAGAAGGAACGCACGAGCAAGACGAAAGAGAGCAAAGCAGCAAACTAAATGCTCCCCAACCGCCGAGTGAGGCCACAGTCCTTTCTTTTTATTTCTCCATCGGTCCTCCAAAATTATTAAATTGCGTAAAAATTTCGAATCTCGGCTTGGCTCGGCTCGGTCGGCCCGGCTCGACTCCGCTCGAATTTTTAAACCTAACTGCTTAAACAGCTTTTATAGGTTTGAATACTTCTTACTTCAGGGGCAGGAATCACTTTTTTATTTTTTATTTTATTTTATTTAAGATGCATCTGAATACTATTTTATTTATATTTATACGTGAGATAAAATATACCCAAAATAAAAGCTTAAAAACTAAGGCTGTCGTTTGAGAACTTTTCTAATCAGGACACCTGACCTAACTCTACATCCGGACGTCAATAACATGTCGCCACATGCTCTTACTCTTTACCGTGCGGCCCGACGACCCGACCCGGACCGGAACCCGTATTTCTATGTTTGTGTATTGCTCGGTATTGCTAAGTATTGCTGGCAATAACAAGAAATACCGCTCTTTCAAGACCAACACCGAACAATATCTAACAATACCGAGCAATACCTAACAAAACCAGGGTATTGCTAGGTATTGGTTTTGACAAAATGGTATTTCTTGTTATTGCCGAGCAATACCTCGGTCTGCACAAATCAGCCAATACATTAATACCGGGTCCGGGTCATCGGGCCGCGCGGTAAAGAGTAAGAGATGTGGCGCTATTTTATTGGCGTCCGGATGTAGAGCTACGTCAGGTGTCCTGACCTAATAAAAGTTCGTCGTTTGAAACTGTGTCCTTAATAAAAAAAATTGAACTAATTTTTTTTTTTTAAATTTCAGCTCTCAACATATTGCACATAATTAGGGCATCTCCAACCGAAAAACTCATTTTACACTCCAAAATGCAACAAAACTTCAAAATGCAGTCATTTATCTCCAATCGAATGACAATTTCTCTCTTCTTTTGCATGTTTCCTACAAAGGTAACCATTTTCTCCTCTTTTTCATGCTTTTCTCCTCTTTTCTGCATTTCAACAAATCCTGTATCCTAATTTTTTCGCATAGATGAACAGTCTGACGTCAATATTGACGTCGTACTGCTCACCCGCTAAACTTTGACTTGAGATTT